AGACCCGACAACTGCGCGAGCCACATTGTCGCGACTGATGACCTCCCTTGAGACAATTCAAACATAAGCCAGCCTTTCGGACCTCATTCAGGCGAAGACTAGGAGACAAGTTTGCGAATCTTGGGCATTTGTAGATTGTGTGCTCAAGATCATTACAAAAATTGCAACTGTGAGTACTGTGGCCGGTTACGAGAAATGCTGATCTACTGGTAGCAACCTTACTGCAAGAATTCATCGGCTTACTTGACGAATAGTTTGTAAGAGCAAATTTCATCGATTCCAAAGTACGGCAACGAAGCTCAAGAAATGAGGAGACTTCTTCATATCTGGGTATCTGAAGAGCCGTCTCTGAGTTGTCCAATTTCTCTTCCCATTTAGCTTGTGAGGCCTCATCAAGCTTCTGTAGCAGTATCTGAGCAATCATGGCACTGGCTATCTGCTCTGTTGTGCCCAGACTACTGAGCGCACGCATATGGACATTGAAGCTGTCAGATAGCTCACGCAGCTTGATTATGGATCCGTTTTCTACTCTTTTGAGACCTAAGATCTTTACGATGTGGGCCTGGAAGATTAAACGTCGGTTATCATATCTCTGCTTTAATAAATTTATGGCAATTGTATAATTATCATTAGAAATTTCCAAAGAGCGAACCGTATCCAACGCTGCGCCATCGAGGCAGGACCGGAGGTGCTGAAGTCTTTCCATATTGCTGATTTCTGGCCGACTTTCAATGATTGTAGAAAACATTGAGTAGAAATCAGCCCAATTAGCATATCCACCGCTGAACGTAGGTAACTTTAATGGCGGCAACGCAGGTGCAGCCTGCAATCTGGGAGCGGATGCGCGAGGAGGGTCACTTGGACGACTAAACGTGGAACTATGATGCACTTGAGCAGTACGACTTTGCACTTCGGACATTATTGTTGACTGCATGACCATTATTAAATCATCAAAGTCAGTGCGCAAATTGCTGGACATCTCAGTAAAGTCGAGCTCCTCTAGACTTTCATGGGCCTTGCTAAAGGAGTGGCTTAGCTTGTCGATATGCTCCAGTAGAACATTTAGAGTGCTGTCACTGTGATCGGCAAGAGCATCTGAATCGACCTTGGATTGTAGCTTTTTTACGCGTTCAAACACCGACTGTACCTTGAGCTTATAAAACCGCACGCGATCTTCGGGAGCAACTGCACTAGCATCTAAATTCGCCATGACGAGTACAGCAAGAGCAACACGATAGAGTTCAAAGTCGTTGGTGCGAGCGCGATTGCAAGAGTAAGTAAATGTATATATGCTATAGCGCAGACTTGGAATAAGTCGTATTTGTCGAGCAGAGTACTTGCAACTTTAATAAACTGGCAAAGAATTATATTATGGTACTCAAATAATATACACGTATGAATTGTTGCACACCGGTACGATTATTATGGACGCGCTCGTATCGCAGCCGTGGTGAAAGAGTGCAATGTCAACGAAGAATAACGGCAAGCATGTAATTACACTGTGCTTATGTAAACTTAATCACTTATAGATTGAAGCTATAGAACACGCAGTCACTAACCATAGACATAGTTCAGAAATTAGTTGATTCTTTATTAGATTGTCAATTGCAGAAGTTTTCGCATGTGTACTACTTTTACGGGCGCCAGTGTATTGCAGACCGAACGAAAGAGTGTCTGGCGAATTGGCAAAGTAACGGCACGCAACTAATCGCTATATACAATGCTTATGTTCACGGGTGTATGTATGTATGTGATGCTGTCAATATATATATGCAAATATGTAAAGAAACGAAAGAGAATCACGTCGGGGTCACCAAATGTTGAGCTATCGAGATTTTTCGAATAGCTTTAAATTATTAAACGATTGAATTTACTTAGTGATTAGTTTATTAGCGATTATTAGAGTTTACAGAGTTTATGTGATAGACGCGAGCAAGCGACTAGTCTGTCGTGCTGTCCGCTACTATGTTTGTAATAGTCAATCTAACACTGCATCTGCTCTAAACAAGAGTTAATTGCATACTAACTACAATGTACGCGAGCCGGCGGATTAAGCTGAGCCGGTGCGTGGGTGAAAGAGACAACGCAAAAGGGAGAGCGTGATCTCCGTTACAAATTCTCTTACATGATAACATATTCTATGAACTGCCGCTCTTAATTACAATGAAGCGATGATTGCTGAGCCCAACAGTAGTCTTTGGCCAAAATTGTGATGTAACCCCTAAATATATTGACCGAAGTTACTCTAGCCTCTAACTTTGGTATTTCATATTTTTTGGCCTTTTCATCCGATTTTCAAGTGGAATGCCTTGTTCGACGCGTATTTACTTGTAGTATCAGATTGCATTAAAAATATTCCTGGACTTATGAACTTTCGGATGAATGCACTCGAAACCGAAAAATACTGAAAAAATACTAAAAAAAATACCAAAAATCATAGCACAGCTCTATCTCGGGTATTTATTGCCCGATTACCGAATGATATATCATTTTCGATATGTATTGTCGAGATCTTTCGAACTGCATTAAAAAATATTTTTTGGCCCTTTCATCCGATTTTCAAGTGGAATGCCTTGTTCGACGCGTATTTATTCGTAGTACTAGATTGCATTAAAAAATATTCCTGGACTTATGAACTTTCGGATGAATGCACTCAAAACCGAAAAATACCGAAAAATACTAAAAAAATACCAAAAATCATAGCACAGCTCTATCTTGGGTATTTACTGCCCGATTTCCGAACATATCATTTTTCGATATATCATTTTCGATATGTACTTTCGAGATCTTTCGAACTATATTAAAAAATATAGGTTCCAAATTATTGTAGTCTTTGGCAAAAATTGTGATGTAACCCCTAAATATATTGACCGAAATCGGATCAAGTCGCAAAGTTACTCTAGCCTCTAACTTTGGTATTTCATATTTTTTGGCCCTTTCATCCGATTTTCAAGTGGAATGCCTTGTTCGACGCGTATTTATTCGTAGTACTAGATTGCATTAAAAAATATTCTTGGACTTATGAACTTTCGGATAAATGCACTCAAAACCGAAAAATACCGAAAAAATACTAAAAAAAATACCAAATATCATTGCACTGCTCTATCTGGGGTATTTATAGCCCGATTTCCGAACATATCATTTTCCGATATATCATTTTCGATATGTACTTTCGAGATCTTTCGAACTGCATTCAAAAATATAGGTTCCAAATTTATTTTGAATTTTTGGCCCTTAATGAATCGGCCAAAATCGGATCGAGTCGAAAAGTTGTCAAGCTCTAACTTTGGTACTTCATATTTTGTGGACTTTACATCCTATTTTCAAGTGGAATCCTTGTTCGACGCGTATCTATTCGTAGTATCATACTGCATTAAAAATATTCCTGGACTTATGAACTTTCGGATGAATGCACTCAAAACCGAAAAATACTGAAAAAATACTAGAAAAATACCAAATATCATTGCAATGCTCTATCTCGGGTATTTATTGCCATTGCCCGATTACCGAATCATTTTTGATATGTACTTTCGAGATCTTTCGAACTGATATTTTCAGTTTTCAAACGAAAAAATGTGCGAAAATTGATAAATATATTGAACTTTAATATAATTAAATTGTTATTGCAAACTGGCGCACACCTATTCAATTCTCAAGCTAGTTTTATTTTGCCTGTAACACCCATAAGAAGAACATATTAAACATTTGCGCAAATATTGAGAGCTCATGATTTTTAGCCAAGTCAACAACTACTGTAACAATTTTATTTGATTTACAATGCAAATATTTTGTCAGTTAATCAAATTTTATTCCGCTTCTTCTATTTTTTATCATTTGTATATTATTAATTTTAACACTTGCTCAGAAGTCACAGCGCTAAAAATGTTGCTAATTGCAACTAAACAATTTTCAAAGCCGGAATAAATAACAAAATATAACGCAGAAATTGTAAATACTAAACATTTGATATGGAAAATATTTTTTTTTAATGCTATAGAAAAATACAATAATTAAAAAAAATTATTATCTATAAAAAAATATTATTTAGTTTTCTGAAAATTTATTAAAGAATTTTTATTTATGAATTATATTTATGTATTTTTTGTACAACGTTATTAAAAGTATACATATTATTTTTTTCTTTACATTATATTTATTTCTTAACAATATTTATGTATTTTTTGTTTATATGTATGTATTGTTGTTTATACAACTTTCGACATTTGATGTCAATTGTGCATTGTCTATATACATATACATATATATTACATGTAGATCTCGGAATGTGCTAAGTGGCCACAGTCTGAATCAGTATCACTTCATGCTAATACATCAAGCAAATTAGAGCCCCATACTGTTGGCTCTTACATTTAGTAATCGACAAAGTATTTAAGCACACTTAGTTACATTTATGTATAGAGATATCTTTCATCATGAACTCAAAATATATATTTATATTATATAGCATATCAATATATATATATATATAAAGCACTACTTCTATCTATACGTATACCAGTATGCTTTGTATAAATATGTTCCGGCTATACCTTATATGCCTATATGCTTCTTCCTCTATTTTTGTCCATATAACATATAAATATAATTCAAATGATAAACTGAATTCGTCCATCTATTTCAATGCAATCAATGAAGCGGAATCATGTTAACGCTAATAATGTTAACACTCTGCTTAATCTAATACAAATATAGATAACGTATATTTGGGTATATAGGGTATTTCGGGTATCTGGGGTACTATATGGGTTAGGCAAACCCAATTGTTTATATTCTCACTCGACTACTGCATGCCATAAAAATAATAAAACACACTCGCTTTTTATGATTAGTGGCAAGCGAATGTATTTTGGTATGAGGTTTTGGCATATCAACAATTATCACCTGAGAGGCGCAGCCATGGCTCTATAAATAGACCCAACTGCAGACACCTGCGTAGTATAGCATATTAGCTTTAATTACCGCTTCTCTTCTGTGCGCAGGTTTTGTGGCGTCGTGGATGCTTACACTGGCAATGTCACCCCAACTAAAACAGCAGTAGCTAATATACCCGCCTTGATACCCAGCCTTAGTTGCGTTAACTGGACAACAGCGCCAGAGGCTGCGGATGGGAACTGCACGAGGCTGACGCGCAATGGACTGATCCGATGCTATGGCGGCATGAACAATGTGGGAATACTAAAGTAGGGGAATATACTAAGGAATCTATAGATCTATTTGACAACTGATTATATTTATTCACAGCTCGAGGCTAGGCAAAGTTGTGCAGGCACAACAGATGCTGTTATGCGGCTGGCCCAGGGAGTCCTTCAATCCTCTGCGAGAGCTGCAAAAGTTTTCCCAGCTGCGCTCCCTGACCATCGAGTACAGCGGCTTCACAGAGTTCAATATTGATTTTCCGGATATGTATCATCTGCAGGTGATAAAAGTCTAGGCAGCTATGAGCCTTGTGAAACTAATTTGGATTGTATTACAGGCCATAAACATTTCGTGGACGAATCTCTCGTATATTTCGACGCGCACCTTTAAGCGCATTCATGCGCTGGAAATCTTAGATCTGCGCTGGAATCAGCTCATCCAACTGGACGGACCACTGATGCTGCCGCACTCCTTCCAGCAGCTCTACCTGGCCGGCAATCCGTGGAACTGCACGCGCAACTTCAAGTGGCTGCTGCTCCAGCCAGAGAAGGGTCGCCTCGTAGTGGATCGCGAGGAGATCATCTGCGCCGATCGCAAGTACAAGGAGCGACAAATGCTGCTGGTCATGCACTACAAGGTGGTGAGTACAGATCGTAAGAGTTAGATTAATACTTTTAAAAAATGCAAATGACCATAGTTGAATTAAATATAACAGTTAAAGCTAGGATTTTATTTCGGTTATCTTCCGTTCCCTCTGAAAATGACTTTAGCCTTTATAGACTAATAGACTTAAGCTTTAGTAAGTTTACACATAACATTGAATGGAAAGTTTTAGTTATAATTTTATTGTAGTGCATATAACATATAGCAACCTTAGCAGTGCCCATCAAATTTATGATCAACCTTATAGATCAGCAATTGAGTCCATTTAGCACATAGACTGCAAATCACTTGTTAGCATTTTCTATTCGCTCCTTCAACTTTTTTTATTTGAGCATAAATCAAGCATTTTTCGAGCTTGTCTCACCAAACTTGCTATATGAGGTCTCATAGTGAATAAACAGATTACGTATACGTAATATTTAGACAGAATAAAGACATAGACGTACGTATATATAATATAAAGAATTAATCTACGTTTTCTTTATGTTACATATACGTACGGCTATATATTTTTACTGTTTAAATATTACGTAATACGTATACGTAATATTTGCACGCAAAGAATGCGAAGACTACTTGTACGTTTTCTCATTACGTATACGTATTGTTTGCGTGGGCAGATACGTAAACGTATTACGTATTATTTGAACAGACAGATTACGTAAACGTGATATTTGGAAAGACACATTACGTATACGTAATATTTGAATCCAAAGAATGTAAATTATTTGTTGTATAAATTGTTTCAGATATTCCCTCTTAATATATCAAGTTTCTTCAGCACTCTTCTCTAATCATTTAAATTATCCTCATATAAGGAATACTACAGAATATTATTTCAATAGCTGAAATCAAGGAGATGGCCAAAAGGCAAATAAGTTTGCAAAATAATAGTTAGCTCAATATAAATTTTAGGTCCTACGCAGAGAGTGTCAATCGCATCCAGATCTGCTCAACTGCACCTGCCTGATGCATCACATAATTCCCAAGTCCTACATTCCACTCTACACGGTCAACTGCTCGCATCTGCAGTTTCACAATCTGCCCGCCTATTTGCCAGAGAATACAACCACCTTGTACATCAATAATAATCTGGTAAGTGAAGCGAGGCAGGGCTCAACTCTATTCTGCAGCTTAGTAGCTCACAACGCAATTTGCAGATCAGTGATATTAATCCGCTGCGGGACAATCCCCACTATCACCACGTGGTGGACGTGCAGCTGGAGAACAATTTGATCTCAAACATCGACGTGCTGGAGGACACCTACTGGCTGCAGAACTTTCGCCTGTTCAACCTGCAGGGCAATCAGCTGCGCAAGCTGCAGGTGTACGCCATGGACAATGCGCTGAACGATAATGAGAATGCCAATCTTCTGCTGGTGAGCAAGAATCCCTGGCATTGCACCTGCAAGTTTGGCATGCGACTGCGCGAGCTCCTCACCAAGTACAAGGACATTGTGAGGGACGCCTGGAATGTCACCTGCACCTATATGCAGGGCGACGAGCTGCGGCTGGCCAAGGTCTTGACCCTCACCCGCCACGACATGTGCAACATCAGTGCCGAGGACGATACGCGCATCCATCCCATTGACTGGCTCAACTGTGTGCTGGCCAGCCTCATCATTCTAATCCTGGGCAAGCTGGCGTATGACTATTATTTCTATAGGTATCACGGCCGGGTGCCATGGATAGTGATGAAAATGCCGTAGGAAAGTTGCATAAAGTTGTTGGCTATAGGAATTGTTTATTATAGTCACTGCCAATAATCAGAACAAATCTTTAGGGGCACTTTGAGGATCCGTAATAGCAACTCAGGAATCAGGATTGAGTCAGGATATCTTCAAGTACTTCTCCTAGTCTCTAAAATTCCTTTCTAATTTCTTAAAATTTTGGCATAATATTATATACCTAAAGGAATGCAGCACAACTGTCAGATATCCTTAAAGTTGCTCCTTTGGTTTCAATATAGTCTATTTAGTCTGAGTCTCTGTTAGTATATGCTTTGCCTTAGCATATGCTTATCCTGTATTATTAGCTCAAAGTATTATTCAAATTAACATAAGATTAAACCAATGCCAAATGGCAAAAACCCTCAATATTAACTATGTACCTAATGCAAAAGTGAATATCGGAATGTGACTTAAGAAACAAACCTGATCTATGTTACGTTACTAGGTATTTTTTTCTTATTATTGAGTTAAGCTTAGAAATTTCAAATGAGAAAAACTTTTAAAATATATAATTTGTTATTGCAGATTTTAAGCATTTTTGAAGAAACTTCAGGAAATAGTTGTTTAGTAGATGGAAGGCATCGGGTATGCTGCTCTGGATTTGTTATATCAAATAGAACAAATTAAATTAATGAAATGAAAATTATATTAAAATTATATATGTATAATAAAAAATATATTAATAAATTAAAAAACTATTTTTAAATATTAATTATTTTTTATGGATTTATCAAAAGGCTCAGCTAACTAATTCAGCGTTTTATTTTTATTTTTATTTTATTTTATTTTTTTTTTTGTAATATCAAATTAAATGTATAAAAAAACATTTATTTTTTTATAAGCACATTCGTCAGAAGTGTACTGAATATAAAAATAAAAAAATAAATAAATAAATACATTAATTTTTAAATTTTATTTTCTCTTTTTGACGATAAAGATCTAGATTATTTCGTTTGCCTTTTATCATTTATTCATATAAAATTAATAATACTTAACTTAGCAGAGCTTCAAGTGAAGAACTGTTATTATTGACATTTTAAATTTATCAGAATAATATTTATTTTATTTGAGCTTCCAGAGCTCTGCTCAGTTCATATATAATCACCTGTTTTTAATAGAAATATCCAGTGGAAATGCCGTGATTATCGCATTCCCAGAGGGGCTTTTACCAAGTCATTTAAAAAAGGACTCTGTGACAGACATTCGCCATCCACTCAGTCCCAGCTGAAACTTTGTGCAGAATGGAGCTGCTGTCGGTTTTTGTGTCCATATGTCGAGCCATTGGCTTGTGCAATCTGCGCTATGTGGCGGAGCGTAAGCGTTTCGAGCTGGATCAGGGTCTAATGCTGGGCTACTGGCTGCTCCTGAATGTGGTCTATGTGGTGCTGACGCCCGTCTGCTTTGTGCTCATGGTGAACAGCTACTACAGCTGCCAGGGCATGGACATGTTGTCCATGGCCTACAGCTGCGTCTCTCTGACCAAGTCGTGCTCGCTGTTCGTGGTGCTGGGCAGCGTTTGGCTGCGACGGCAGCGCATCAGACGCGTCTGCAATGGCTACATGCGGCTGCTGGAGCGCTTCACGCAGTACCATGCGAACTATAGCTATTGGCGACGTCACCTCTGGAAGCTGCTGCTGAGCAATACGCGCTTCGTGGTGCTGCTCAATCAGCTGTTTGGCCCCGGCAGCGCGCTGATGTGCGGCGTAGACGATGATGAGGTCGTGACTGGCCTGCCGCCTATCTACATCGGCCTCTCGGTGGCCGTGCTGCTGATGGACCTGCTGGCCAGCTGCACAGACAGCTTGGCCTACTGCGTGGTGGGCACCAGCAATCGACTGCTCGAGTGCATGTCGCAGGAGGCATTGGAGCTGACTCGAGATCTGCGCTGGCTGCCGCCGTCTCGTGGCCGACATCGCGCTGTCTATCAGCGGCAGCTCTTGGCTGCCTGGCATCGACTCTGGCACAGCTGCCGGCAGCTGGACAAGCTGCTCGTCGAGCTGCTGAAAATCTTTCAGGCTCTACTCCTGCTCAACGTCTTCACCAACTATTTGACTGAGATTTCGCTGTTCTTCAACTTGGTTGTGCTCATTGCCGATGCGGAGTTCATTAGTCCATGGCGTTGCTATTTCTACTCTGTGGTCTGCCTATCATTTCACTTTGACATCCTGCTAACCTTCTCCATATTTGGCGCAAATCAAGTGAAGTGGAAACATTTGTCCGTCCGACTGCAGCAACTGTGGCTCGCTCTGAAAGCTATGCATGTGGACTATAGGAGCGACACACAATGTGTGGCTATGCTGCATCAGGTAAGTAAGCGAATGTCTATATGTGTATGATGGAGAGATAGAGGAATGGAGTAATTGAGTAATAGGCCAATAATATAATAGAGTAATGGAGCTTTGAATGCTCTCTCAAGGCATCAACCAGGCTGTGTGCCATCGAGAGAGCCTGAGCTGTATAAAGTGGAAGTCTGTTCCATTGCCTTTCGTTTCAATGCAGGGAAGAGAATGAGTTGAAGGAAGAGGGAGAGATTTTAGGCACGATTCCATTGAGCCACGATTCCATTGGCAGATATATGCAATAGAATATAGAATTGCTTAAAATGAATATCTGTATTTTCTTTCTCGGTATAAATTACTATAAATATATTAGACTCTGTTTTATAATCTGCTACTACTATTACTATAAACATATTTTATAATCTCTCTATTTTATAATCGACTGATACATTGTCATATCATATTACCCATATTACCCATCTACATAATTCCAATACCTGCCTGCCTGGACTCTCTAAAATGATTTATGACTGTTTTAAATTTGTAATGCCTTAAACATATATTTAGTTATATACATATGTCTAACATCAATATTTAGTAAAAAAAATGTTTTAAATATTAATTTATAATATAATCAATTTGAGTTTTCAAAATAAATTTATATATAATTAAATATATATAAATATAATTAAATAAAAATAAAAATTAATTTTATAATATATTAATAATTTTATAATATAATATAATTGTATATATATATTCAACAATTCCACTCCATTTTACAGCTAGAATTCGCTATGATCTATTTAAATCGCCGACTGCAGCCGCAACCGAGAAAAGTGCGAAATCTACAAATTATGGGTCTATTCGATATGAATCGAGGATTTTGGAACTCGATGAACGCCTCCATAGGCATGAATGTGCTGATTCTGTGGCAGTTGGCATACAAGAACTATTATTGAAGCAATCCATTCCCATTCCCATTCACATTTACATTTAAAAGCTATTTAAAAGCTTCGGGCCCGTAATAGTTGTGCAGAGCTTTTAATGCGTGTTTATAATGGCCAAAAGCTCTTTGTGAAGTGTCAACTAAAAGCCTTGCGACACTAAAAACAATTGTTTGCTCCTCATCATTTCCCAGTATTTGAGTGCAATGGAAATGGGTTAAATGCTAGGGTTTTTAAGTGTATTTTATTTTTAAATATACTCCTTTTTTATATTTTAAGTGAAATAAACTTTAATGTGAAAAACTAAGTTTGGGATGGTAACTTAACTTTTGTTTGATATTGAAAAATTAAGTTTGGGATGGAGATTTAACTTATTTTTTTTAGTTTTGATTGTATTTGACTTATTTATAAATATTGTATATATGCAAGTTTATAATTAAATATATAAAAATTGACAGTAAAATTAAATTGATAAATAAATAAAATGTATAAATAAATAAAAATGATAGAAAATTAATATATTGAGTTGATTTTGTTTGAACAGTGATTATCTCTGTTACCCCTTTGAATATTTGATATATGGAATACAAAATTTAGTATGTCACTTCTTCTGATTTGCTATATTGATATATAATTTTCTTTAGCTTATTTCATACTGTATCTAATTTTCCTTTTTGAAGAAGCTTTCATATTTCAATCCCTGCTCATGGCGACGCTTCAGATCGAACTGCATTAGCAGGATGACATGGGTCAGCACAGCGGCCATGTAGCTCAGGCAGGCGGGCTTATCCAGGATCACGCAGCTGCATATGCGATAGACCAGGCGATTGTTGCGCAGACGATGGCCAAAGAGCTCCAGCTGCAATTAAATGAAATATAGTCAAATATTAACTTGATCTGGAATGGATATGAAAGCAAACCTCCTTGTGTGACTCTGCGCTCAGTCGACGCAGATCGTTGAATTGAAGCAGCAGCAGAGCCGAGTCGTTGCAGGCCCTCAGTGCATCATCCAGCAGATTCATGAGCAGAACTGAATTCAATATGTTGAGGCTGACCAGTGCGTCGCCAATGAGGATGCCCACGTAGTTGGACTTGATGGTCTTGTTGCCGAACTGAATGGCATGATAGAAGATGCTCACGTTCACGGCGAACATGTTCAGAAAGATGCTGGCATTGGCCAGATCGTAGATGCTGAAGACGCGTCTGGCCAGCAGCAGCCACTCGCTGTGTATGCGGGCCACTCGGCTCAGCTCTGCCTGGGAGCAGCGCGAGCGGCTGAGCGAATGCAGTGCCAGCTGCACGGCTCGGAACTGGTGAATGAGCAGGAGCAGCAGAGTTATGAAGCTCACTCGCTGAGCCGATAGCATTAGCATCGTGGCAATGCGAAAGAGGAAAAACAACAGATTGGTGCGCGCGTGCAGGCGGAATTGCATGATGAGCGAGAGGATGACCATGGAGTAATTGACGCACAGCATCCGTAGCATTTGGCCAGCCAACTCCAGTTGCAGGCGCTCCAGGGACTTGGCACCATTCACTCGGCACAGGGTCGGCCAGTGGGCGTGCCAGCGTTGCAGTAGGTCGGCGTAGAGCTGCATCAGCCGGCGGCGCTGCAGCCAAACGGTGCCATAGCAGCTGAGCAAGGCGACAATGCGAAAAGACGTCATCAGCAGCTGGGACCACTGCAGGACAACGTTGTGACGCATATAGCTGCCCAAGAGGCCGCTGGCCATCATGAACGGCGTCTCGGCCAACACGAACAGGGCCGGGCACACACTATAGATCAGATATCCGGCGGACACTCGGCTCACGCTCACCCGGCCTAGGCTGCTCTGCAACGTCGACGGCAGCAGCCCGTAGATGAGCATCTGACTGTAGCCGATGTAGAACAGCAGGCGCAGCCGACGATGCAACATGCTGCGACTCGCGGCTAATACTAATTGACTACCAAAACAGTTGACAGACCTGCGGCTGCCCCCCACCCCTCTCGCCTTTTCAGGCAAAATTAATTAGCTAAGTGAGCTCCAAGGCATTGCGGCTGATAATCTGATCTTGCGTGACAAGTTTACACCGAATTCCGTTATGCGTGTGCATTCACTGTACTCACTGTTCACGTGTCAAGGTGATTGATTGATACATATTGATTGACATATTGAATGATTGATTAGGATTAAATCATTCCCTGATTGACATGAGCTGTATAGGCTGGAGTAAAATGAGTTGGAGGCAAACCCTTTTCTTTTGAAATGCAGGGAAAATTCCTCGAATTTGTATGTTAACTCTATTTGTTGTTGAATGTAAAAATATCCCCCACACACAAGGTTGATAATAGATCAAAGATATGCGCTGAGTGCTTTCCTATAAAATGAAAAAAAAAAAAAAAAAATGATTAATTTATTTATAAGAATATTGACCAACATATAGTTAATTTAAAGAAAAACAATAAAAAAAAAAAAAAAATATATATATATATATATATATATATATATATATGTATATACTATATAGCCTACATATATATGCATATGAACGTATTTAGGTGTAACATTTTCTGCTGCTAACTTTAATATAGTTCAATAAAAATTAAAGAATTTAAGTTTACAGAAATTGTGAAAGTTCTTGATAAAGTAGAAGTTCTTTCCATTTCCATTTCCATTTCCATTTCCATTTATTTTAATAGATGCACAAGTATATCTCTTATATTATATCTCTGCATTATGGACTCATTGCTTTCTATATAATTAACAGACATATTGAAAAATATACAATATATGCGCCTATATACACTGCCCATATTTATGAATAGTCGATATTTCACAATTGCTTATATTGCTTTACAATATTGCCTAATGGCGCGCTCATCTGCATAAAGTTATTAAATATTAAATTGTATTAATCAAACGCGCGCTGTCATTGCCATCAAAGGTAATTGTCTGTGATTAAAGGTGGGGAATGTGACGGAAAACTTGGGTATGCCATCAATTTAAAATGAGAATTTGAAGTGAAGGGCGTGCTATACAGAGGGAACCAGCAATGGACATATATGGTATATATAATGGATAATGGAATACATAAAAGAAAAATATTAATAAACAGGAAAAATGAGATTTATTTAATATTAACAATTAATAAATACAATTTACATAAAATATTATGAATTTGTTTATGTAATTTAATTTATTTTAATGTTTAATAGATAGAAATAAATAATATATTCATAATATTAAATCAACCAATTTTTTTATACTTATGAATTTTTTTATGTAATTTAATTTATTTAAACTTAACGTTTAATAGATGGAAATAAATAATATATTAAATAAATAAATGCAATTTTTTTTATATTTGTGAAATTGTTTATATAATTTAGTTTATTTAATTTTAAATTTTAATAATTTTTTTAATAATAATTTTAATAATAAAGTGTGGCATTTTCTTTAGTGCTTCAGCCTGCATTGTTCATTTCGCTCACATATTTTAAAGAAAACATTCCAAACAAATGGAAACTATAAAATATAAAGTTTTTTTTTTTTATTTCTATTATTATTTGCAATCTGTCTTATACTAAACAATAAACAAATGCATTAAAAAAATTGATATTGAAATATTTGTAGATTTTCTGTCTTTCAATCACTTTAACAGTAATTTGCCAAGCTCGTTTCCCTCTCTTCACGTCTCTATCTATCTCTCTCTTTCAACTGCCTCAACAAGCTCAACACATTTTGGTTTTTAATTTGTTTGCTGGCTAATTGAATCGAATATCAGGCGCAGTGTCAACTCAATCTGGACTCTGTGCCAGTTGTTGTCCAAGGCAATTCAATAACAGGCGGCGGATGTGCGGATGTGCGGATGTGGTGGTCCATATCTCCAGCTATCATATTACATATGACAGCTACAACTACGCCTGTCTCTGTAGCTAACCCTATCATTAGCCTCGACCCACCCCCCCCCCCCTCGCACAGCTCGATAGCAAAATATCTCAGCTGCTTTTTGTATTAATTCCAATTATCCGCACGACTGGGGAATTTTCATTTGGATTGATAGGATTTTGGGTCATTATGCGCCCTGTCTGTCTATCTTTCTGTCTGCCTCTCTGTGGGGTCTATCCACAATATCCGCCAGCCATTTGTTGCCATCAACTTTGTGCTAATACCCTGTTTTGTTAAAGGGGTTAGAGCTGGATGAACAATAGGCGTAGAACAAGTGAAGATTTGCTTGATAAATTGAATGAGGAAACTTGTCTAAGAGATGTTTAACTGATTCTGAATCTATTATTATATTTATTGTAATTTATTTTCAATAAAATATATACATATATTATTCAGATATTTACATAGTTCACATTTTCTATCTCTCATTTCAACACAGCATTTTCTTTAGGGTAACTTGTGCTCAGTGCTTTTCCAATCACCTCACCTCGACTCATTGTTCATCTGCCTCAGCCTCAGCTTCAGCCTGCAGCTCATGTGAGTAAATTGTATTGATTGGAAAGTTTCGCTTATGACATGCTGCCAGCCCAATCGGAGTCCAATAAGATTTCTTCTCAAAACTAATTAGGAGCTGGCATAGTTGAACATCCTTTGGGATGCTCCTCGCTCCAGCTGCGACGCCAATCAAGTGTGCTGCCTGGGCAGCTGCTAATGTAGCCCTGGGGCCAGCATTTTGTCTGCCATTAGCTGAATCGAAATTATGGAAAAATGCTAACAGCCTTAGGTTCGACTGCTTGTCTCGGCCTCTCTGGAAACGGAATGTCGATTCTGCTTTAATGCAGTTAATTTATTGTGGTCTCTCGCTCTCTGGTCGGCCTGCATGTGGAAGTTTTGCTCAACGAGCCTTTTAAATTGACATGAAGAAGTTTCTCTGGCCGCTATCAACACCACAAGAAAGTGGGTCAAGTGGTTTTCAACACTTAAATAAACTCTTCTGCATTGGCACGGGCGAGTGCTGAATGCTGTCCAGCATTTTCTTTGCCATTTCGTTTTTCTGGGTCACCGTCGACTCGTCCTCATCGTTGTCCTCGTCGTCCTCATCGTCCTTTACGTCCTCGTCGACATCGCATAAATATAAATTGTATTGTTTCGAAAAGTTTTTCCAGTTGAGTTTCGCGGCTAACGGAAAAAGTAGTTAAAGTTTTGTTTTCGCCCCTAGTTTATTGCGTGATTTCCTTTGCAATGACTCAACCCAGCAGCCAGAGGACTCTCCGCCTACCCGCCTCTCCCACTCCCATTTTTAGCACGACGGCTCCCAGTTCGCTCAGTTTTTAGTTTAAAGGTGGCAAAATGTTTTGCCCTATGATTTACAGCCGCTGTTAGTGTATTTGTGGCTCGGCTTCTTTATTTATTTAGTTTTAACAAGTTTCGCCATAGTTTTTGGACATTCTCACACTTTGCTGGCCCGAGCGAGCGAGCATAGTTAGCACTTGTTTCTTTACCAAATTTTTGAGTTCTGCCAAGAAATTGTTCATGAACCAACTAGCTGCTATTTTCTATACTTACTTTTCGGTTACTTGATACATATTTGCATTCGTTGATTTTTTGTGAAGCTGTACTTTAAGGGTTTTGAACTGAATTTATTATAAACAATATAAAATACTTTTGCATTTTGAATATTAAGTTTATTTTTTTTTGGTTATTTTACTTAACAATTGATTAACTTTTCAATTGGTATAAATATCTCGAATGTCTAAATATTTATAAATATTTTATTTGTGGTAAATATTTTTTATAAAAAAATTGCCTTATGTGTTCTGCTCTTAAATCAATTTTGGACTCTTTTTATGTAAAATATTCAAGGCTAATAAAGCTAATAAGCTAATAAACTATATAATATAATTTACATAAAAAAATTTATTTATATATTTAGTGTCTCACTATAGCATCTTACTTTAATAATAATATATTAGTTATCAACTTCAAAAGCAAATAAATCATGTAATCATTCATTGAAATTTAAAATAGGTTAATAGAAAAATTACCTTTTCAACGCAAATTTGAAGTCTCCTGGTTGAAAAGTGTTCAAATTAGGCTGAAAAAACAATGTCGATTTTTCGATTATTCTCGATAAAAAAGTTATCGGATGAGTTATCGAAAAAATAAAGCAAACTCGTACTGCCTATGATATACACGAGTATGCATGCCAAATTTCAGCTCTCTAGCTCTTATAACTTCTGAGATCCTTTTGCTCATACGGACGGACGGACGGACGGACGGACAGACGGACAGGGCTATATCGACTCAGCTCGTCGTCCTGATCAAGAATATATATACTTTATGGGGTCTGCGATGATTCCTTCTGCCTGTTACATACTTTTCACAAAACCATTATACCCTGATTTCCCATTTTCAATGGGTTCAGGGTATAAAAAGCAAATTGTTGCTTAAACTTAAAATAATTATTGAACTAAATCATAACATAAAAAAAAATTTACAAAAATATAAAAAATAAACAAAATATTTGCAAACTAAATTTGTAACGTAAACTCATAATTTATATTATAAAAGTAGAAAAGATAAAATAAATAATAGAAAAATAGATTAAAAGATAGAAAGGAAGCACATTTTGTTTTTTATATATTTTTTTTGTTTTTTATATATTTATATTTAACATAACTAACCAAATTTATATATTAAATATAATTTTTTAAATATATATGTATTGCAGATTTTTGCTGTTTATTTTATATTTTAAGAATATGTTCATATTCAAGTTAATATATATTTTTACTCCTATTCCCTAATGCAGCATAGCGCATTAGTTAATTTCATCACATCAGGAGCAGCAAATCGAAAGCTTTTCAGAGCATTTCATTAACCAGACATAGAGTGCAATATTAACTGTTTGTTTACTAACCTCGTTCAGCTGTTGATTTTCCATGATCGAATTTCGAGTGTTGATAAAACAGACAACAGATGGCTCTCCGTTCGATTAGTTTAATTTTGTGGTGCACTGTTCACAAATTATAGCATACTTTTGAGCGCTCTCTCTCTCTCTCTCTCTGTCTCTCTCTCTCTCAGTCTGTTAACGATTCACAATTCGCGGCTGGAACTGCAAACATTATGCACGTCGCTGGCAACGTGTCCAATGCCACTTCTAATTGCATTTTTACTTAGTTGGCGCGCAAAAGTTTGCCACGCCCCCCTTCGTCCGCTTCGCCCGCCTCGTGCCCTTCGGACGGCACGTGGAAAAGTTTAATTAAACGTATTTGATTTATGACTTCCAGCACGGCCAGGTGGGCGTGGTAGGGTGGCGTATGGGCTGCCTGTGCAGCTGCCAACCGCAATTCCAATTGGAATTGCGTCCATTCTGCTTGGACTGATGCTCGTTGCCTTGCGCCCAGCTTCAGTTGCAGTTTCTATTGCAGGCCATTAAAAGCGCTGCGCACACCTTTATGACTTGGCCATGTGGAGGCAGCTCCAGCTCACATGCCAAAATTCGTTTATGCGTTTGCTCTGCTGCACTTTTTCATCAAGTTAATCAATGTTGCTCCTGCTGCTGCTGCTGCTGCTCCTGCTGCTGCTGCTGCTGCTGCGGCGTGGCCAATCTGGGTCGCAAATCCCTGCGGCTTAGGCGCTAAATCAGGTACAGGCCACAGGCCGCACAAATCTCCAGCTCAATTCATGCCTGCAAAATATTTCACGATAATCAACTTTGATAGGCCTACGACTTCAACTTGCTCCACACGCAGCAACCAAAAAAAAAGGAAAAAAAAGATTCCGAAAATCGCCAGAAATCCGCAAAACAAACCAAATCCCCTACACACACACACACACACACACATACATACATACATGTTACATAGTTAGACACGGCGCCTGCAGCAGCAGCAGCCGCCATTTTCTTGGGCCGCCCTTTTTCCATATTTTTTATGGTCCGGCGTGGAAAATGAAAATGGAAAAAGTTTCGTGTTAAGGAAGTAATATTTTTCGATGAACTGCCGGATAATCGCTGCGTGCTACATTGCCCACTGGATATTGGCTTAGTTGGCTTAGCTTCCTCTCTCCCTTTCTCTCTCTCTCTCTCGTTTGGCTTGCCCAAAAAAGGTAAAAAGCGAGCGAAACGCTCGCCTCTGATTAGCCTTCAATTAGGTGTTTCACTTTATGTAGCCTGCATATGCCTCAAAGTAATTGGACTCTGCTCATAGAGAGAGTTGCCTTCTGATACTACTAAGCCGCATAAAGTTTAGTTAGCACTAGATTTTTAGACAGCTGAGCATAAGGCAACAGTTTAAAGTCTGATATAAAGCAGAGCAGTAGTTGTCTACTCTATAGATATTGTTCTAGAACAAAGTTTCGATATGAAGAGCTTTATGTTTCACAAAGACTATATATTCATTTAATGCATTCAATTTCTGTCTATATAAATACAATAAAATACAGTCGAGTCTCGATAATTTGTAACCCGCTAAATCGAAATTCGCGATAAATCAAAAAAAATCTATCGCCTTGAAAGAAATTCTGTGTAAATCGAAAAACAAAAATTACCTCTTGCACTTTCAAATTATCGGGATTCTACTCTATTCTATTTTTATGTAAATCTTTACTGATTGTGCTTGCTGATCTTTTATAGCACCTCTCGGAAAAACTATTTGAAAGTTACTTATTAGAAATAAGAAAATCTTATCCTTATCCAGCCTTATTCTTATCCCTTATCCATATTTACAGTCCAAAAAATATTGAAAATAACTTAAGTAACTTCTGTATATCTATATCTATATATTATATATATATAATAAATATATATAATAAAGTCTCTAGTTGAGTAGAGACTCTCTATTTGTAAATTATTGAGCAATTACTCAAACCTCTATTAAGGAATAGGAATACGAATTTATAGTCCTATACATTATCATAAATTCGCAAATTCGATTTTCGAGCATTGGCATATTTCCATATTTGACTGTAAAGTCAGTTGCATGCTCTAAACTGTTTATAAATCGATTTGCTAGAGCTGCCGACAGGCTCAATTAATTACACATAATAATGGCATATGAATTCTATAAAATTAATATATTCTGACACTGAAATACTTTCCATTTTTTTCGCTCATATTTAATTGTGCAAGAGAACAAAAAGAAATGAAAAAAAGAATCCAATAAAACTTTGATAAAAACTAAAACGAATTCATGTTTAATCCGCAGTCAAGCGAACTGCCGCAACTAAAAATGCAAATGTGAATGAATAAAAAAAAAAACTGAAAATATATAAAAAAATATATATTTATATATTGTGAATTCTTTTAATTTTTTGTTGGCGTACTAAATAAATTTTACATTTAACATACGCAATTAATGTGTGGCAAAGCCGCAAATAAAACCGCTTAATTACGTGACTCTGACCGGAGACAGAGAGAGAGAGAGAGAGTGAGGGTGAGCGTGAGAGAGGTGAGGGCGAGTGCAGCAGAACACGACAGGATAACAACAATGGAAATATACAACAAAAACAACAACAACAACAACAACAACTACGACAACAATTTCAATTGGAAATTTGCATGACATGCAATGAAATGAAATAATAATATGGTTAATAAAGTCAGCCGCATCAGATTCGGATTGAGAGAGAATCAGAGTGAGAGAGAGGGAGAGGGAGAGGGAGAGGGAGAAGTAGTAGGGGGGGTCGGGCGTAACTGGACTCAGATCTGGGAGCCAATTATCGCACTTATTTCGCTGCTAATTAAAATGCAATTATTTGCTTTAAACAACATAATCCCATTGAGGGGCGCTTTATTTGCATACACATGTACATAAATCGAATCGATGCGGTTGTCATGGACTCGGCTCCAGCTCGGCATCCTCGTCATCCTCGGCCGTGATGTGCAGTCGTGGCACCACAAAGCCGCCACTGCGTCCCATGGCCGGCGATGGGCTAGGCTTACGACTGAATGAGTCTGTTGCAGCTGTTGTTGTTGTTGTTGCTGCTGCTGCTGCTGCTGCTGGCATTGCTGCTGCTCCTCCTGCTGCTCCTGCTGCCACATACTGCCCCCCATTGGCGGCCACATTGCGCCCCGCCTCGTCCACATACTCGCAGATGATCTGCCAGAGCGACTGGCGATCCGTGGTGCCGCGCACGCGCGCCCTCAAATAGGCGGCGGTGGCAATCAGCGTAAAGTTGAGAATGCCCGCATTGAAGATGTGCAGCCAGCCGTTCAGCTGCAGCTGGCTGTTGGCTGCCTGCTGGAAGAGCTGCATGGGCAGCGGCACGGCCACATTCATGGGCGCCGCGGAGCGGGTGCGCGGCTGCCCATTGGAGTCCCGCTTGGCGGGCAGCTTCAGGGAGTGCGTCATCATCAAGGGCGGCGACGGAGTGGCAGAGCCTAGCCAAATATATATATATGGGAAAATGGGGTATATAGGATATATATCTCTCTCTCACTCTCTCTCTCTCTCTCTCTGTCTTACCTTCGTTCGCCTCGCGCGCCATGCGCTGATCGGCTCGCTTCACCCACCCGCGCACCGTCGACTCCGGCACGCCCAGCTCGCGTGAGATGCCCGCCTTCGTCTCGCCATTGCGTATGCGTGCGATGGCGCGCTCCTTGTCGTCCATGGAGACCTGAACTCTGGGTCGTTTGCCCCGTGGCACTGCGGTGCGCTCCATGAAGAATAAAGTTCTTGGATGAGGATCTTGGCTAGAAATCAATTGGAATTCAAAGTTGTGGCTCTGATTTTACGGCTTTTTTTTTCTCTCTTTTTCTCTTTTGCTTTTTTGCTTTTTTTTTGTGTGTGTGTAGTTGATTCGATTATCGCGTTTATAAATTTCAACGAATTTGCTTTTTCATGCGCGTCGCTATCTGCGTCTGTTTTTCAGAATCGGACCCGGTCCCTTTCTATTTGACAGTAGTGCCTGCCCCCTGACGAGCGGTTTCGGTTTGGGCCAGCTGACATATAAATCGCTGTGGGTTCGTTTTCTTCGCGTTTGCTCGCATTTGCTTGCCTTTTTGAGCTTTTGTTTACTTCTCTTCTCGTCCTCGCCTCTTTGACAGCTGCCGACCAGGGTCGCATCATCACTGGGCCCATCCGGCGGTGCTGCCAACTGCTTTGCTTCCCGAATTCCCGTTTCAATTACACATTTACCTTCACTTCGCTCTGATCTCTCCTTTTTCCCCCCAATTGCGTTTATTTACGTTTTTCTTTCGTTTTTATTATTTTTGTATTTTATTTTCAATTTCTTACATTTAATTCTGACGTACATCTAAAATATGTGTTCTACTCTCTATTTTTTGTTGGTTTTTCTTTCTCTCGTTTCATTATTGTTGTGGGTAAATCTCTGTAACTTATTTTTTGGGCACTGCAGCGATGCATTTGCAGTTGGATTAGAGTGAGGGAATATTTTTAAAAATATTTCATAAATATATTTGGAATTTTTTGTTTTCAATTTTGTTTTCATGTTTAATTTCACCTTGTTTAGTTAAGCTTTATCTAGAGGGTATTCAAGTGAAAGGTATAAGAGATAAAATTGAATTTTGTGGGGGCAATAAGTTATTAAAAACAGGAAAAAATTTTCAATTTTATATAAAGGGAATTTGAGGACTTAAAGAGTTTTATAAACATTTGAGCCAATGGCCATAACTAATGGTAATTGAAAGGGCTTATATATGATGATTAGGATAATAGTGTTTGGATTTTCCTCTGTAGATGATTCTTGCAATATAATTAGAGGTTTTTGAGTGTCTCACTTGTATCAATTATTCTTACTAAGACTTCTCTACGATAGTTTAAAAAGGAGCATTCGTTGTATGCTTGGCTCAGCCTTTAAAATTATGGCTTAGCTCAAGATTTGATGCTCATTGAATTTGTTAACTATTTGTAAAAACAGAAGAGAAACTTTAGTCTAGTCAGAAAGCTTAATTGATTGTCAAACTAAATTGAAATTGAATTAAAAATTGAAATTGCATCAAATTGAACTAAAAGTCAAACGAAATAAACTGAGTTTATGAATAACAACAAATTTGTTTCTAGTATGCTAGAATATTACTATTAAATGAAAAATGGAGTTTTATTGAATTTTTAACAAACATAAAAAATATTTTGAAAAATAAATAAATAAAAATAAAACATAAAAATGAAAAAAAAAATAAAATAAATAAATAAAATAAAAAGTATTAATAAAAAAAAATAACTTTATTTCTAAAAAAAAAAAAAACACACACTTCAGTTATTTAAGTAAAAGAAATAAAAATAAAAAAATAAAAAATTAATAATAATAAGATTGCATTTTTGACCTCACTAAAACCCTAAAAATAGAAAATAGAAATAGAAAATAAATATGAAATAAAATAGAATAGAAATACAATTATTTTTTAAAGTGCTTATTTTTTTTTTTTAATTTAAACATGGAAAACTAAATTTTTTTTTAATTCCACAGCAAAGAACATTAATGAACGGGCACATAGGCTTTGCTTATACGCGCTGGGGCTTTCATTTAAGATTTTGGATCGCTGCAATGCCACTTCGACTCGCTCGTTCTATGCATATAATAATACCACTTATATCTAAGTAATACGACTTAATTTCTATAACCATTTTTTGGTTGAATTTTACAAGTTTCTTTACTTTTTTATTTGGGAAAGTTTTAAAGGATTTTTTACTTTTTTAATTTATTTAATTTTGTTTCTCATTGAAATTTTGTTTTTTCTTTGCCTTTTAGTTGTGGACAATTTGAACCACGAATTAAAATGCAATTTGATCTCCATTTCGTTTTACATTTTTCGTTTATGGTCTAGGTAAATCTATGTGCAAAAAATATATATATGTATTGTATATCGTACATTATATACATATTAATTCAAGTATGCATTTGCTTATGTACGACTTTATTTTATTTTTCATATTTTCCATTCTTTTTTTTAGATTGACAATTTGCCAATGATAATAAATTTAAGTTGTTTTGTATTTTATTCAATTTTATTTTATTGATACATATATTAACTAATAAAACCACCAACAATTTGTTATATGTATTTTCTGTCATATCTTTTTTTTTTACCATTTTACCTGTCTACCTTAATTAGTTTCTAGTTTCTTTATGCTCGTATTTCGTTTTACCTTTGTTTTGTTTTTTCCTTTCCAACAATTATCACGTGACAATTTTATGCTTAATTAATTTATTCAGGGCAGTTAATCATTTTTTTTTGTATGCTTGAAGTGTTTATCGTATAATTATTTCAATTAATATTCAATAGCTGTCACGAGAGAAATTTATAGAGTTCAGTTTTTGCAAAAACTACTTACATATAAGTGCTTGCTATTAAGCATGTTTTTTTTTTATTTTTTTTTTTTTTTTTCTCTTTTATTTATTTTGTATTGAGAGAAGAAATACAGAAATCAATGAAATACTGACGGCAATTGGCAGTGGAATAAATATTTAATAAATATTGGAGAAGAAAATAAAATAAATAAATAAAAATTGAACTAAAACTGCATTTCAAGGAGCTGCAAGCTTCCATAACTGAATCCATCGAATCCTTGCCAAGAGCAACTCAACAGAGAGAGGAAGGGCGAGCTGGAGTTTTAGTAATCCTCCTGGAGCTGCTGCAGCCCTGGCTGCTTCGGCGCCCCTCGGCACATGCGTCGCAGTATGGCGATGAGCAGAGCGAATATCGCGCAGAGCCCGAGGGCGAGCAGCGAGAGTTTGCCGTAGGGCAGCTGGCTGAGATCGCGGCGCAGGCAGATCTCCGGGGACTCGTCGTGCAGGACGAGCTGACGGTACTCGGCGGCATGGTGGAGCAGGCCGAGCTGTTCCAGATTCCACTCAATGTGCCGCGTTAGTTGGGCCAGCGTCGAGGTGTGCGTCACATTGGGACAGTTGGCGATGCCATTGCAGAGCAGGTGGCGCGGTATGCAGACCTGCGTGTCGCCGGGACAGCGGAAGTCACAGTCGCCATCCTGCAGCAGGGACGCGGCCAGACTACCGTCGGGATTGCGGGGCAAGTGGAACAGCTCGGTCCAGACCAGTCGAAAGATGTTCTTGCCCGGCTGGCCATCGCCCGTGTATTGTATGAGCACCGGCAGCGGCTCCTGGTCGGCGCCCGTGGCGCCCAGCTCGGCGGTGCTCAGGATGGGCAAGTCGCGGGCCAGCGATATGTTGTCCGGGCAGACGACAAAGCGCGGCTCCAAGCGCCCGGCCAGATAGACCTCGATCTTGGCGCTCTCGCAGCTGCGCTCGGCAAAGCGCGCCTTCTCCAGGTTCAGCCAGAGATCCCTTTGGGCGGCCACCTTCAGCTCCCAGATGCACTTCTCGCGGCGATAGTGGTGCTCCGGCGGCGCCATCGGCCCCGCCACCATGGCCAGCGCCTTCTTGTAGGGGAAGACGAGCTCCCCATCCGGCGAGGGCCCCAGCGTGATGGGGCCGCAGAGCGGGCCGTGGGCGAACTCGTAGGTCGCCTCGAACAACGGATTGGGATTCTTGAAGTACGAGGTGATGGCATGCTGGCCCTGCACAATCATCTCGAGATTCATCTGGTCCGCCGACGAGATGACGCGCACCGCTCGCGGTATATTGTCGCAGAAGCAGGCCAAGTTGTTCTGGAACTTGTCGCGCTCCTCCCAGATGACCAGCTTGTCCACGCGCTCCTCGTGGCAGCGCGTGCAGGCGTTGCTGTTGTAGGGCAGCTCCTTGAAGGACACCGAGTTCACCTCGATTATGGCGCGGGCATAGAGCCGTCGGTCCGTCACGAATTTGTACTGGCAGCGGACGTCGCTGCCGCCGGTTCGCTTGAAGATGAGCGAGTTGAGCGGCGAGCGGAGCCGTCCGCCCGGATGCTTCCAGGCGTACATGACCTCGTCGCAGAGCGTGTTGGGCACCGGATCACCGAATCGTGTATTGTTGAAGAAGTCATAGTGTGCCCAGTAGTACAGTGAGCTGCCGCTATAGCTGCCCGTCTTCGACTCGAACTGCACATAGAGCGAGGGGCTGGTGCTCACAAAGTCCACCTTCTCCATGGGCCGCGAGAAGGTGTCGCAGAAGGTCTTGATGATGCGCGCCGGATCCGCATGATCCGAGTCGTAGATGGTCAGCGATTCGCCGCAATCCCCCTCGTACTTCAGTATGGGCGACTCGATGCGATTGATGCGAAAACTGCAACGAAAACGGAACAACAAATGGAATATCAGGAATCCGTATCATAAACTACGCAGCCCCAGGCCAAAGGCCTCTGGCACGTTGCCAAGCCCCTCCCCAGTTGTAAAAAATAAATGAATAAAAAAATAAAAGCCCAACTCCAACATTTTCTACGAGCCTCTACGTGCTGCCTCCTGCCACAATTTAATATAAATTCCGACTGGTAACAGGTAAAATCTCACTTTTTACGGGCACAAACACGTAGTCACGCTAGATGTGAGCTGCATTCGCAGTTGCAACTTGCAACCATAAAAGACGAAGAAGAGGAGGAAGAATATGAATGCAAATTGCTTGTTGCCAAAAGTAAATTTTTGGCACGTTGAATCTAGCAAATTATTGAGGAATTTGTAAAGTATTTCTCGAGCATAATAAATCGACTTATGGCAGTCAAAAGCGTTTCATGGCGTCAACTGTCTGAGGTTAAAGTAATAAACGACCATAGGGAAACATGTCTGGAAATTTCCGCTGAATGAATCGCAATGGAATATGAAATTTGAGCTGTCTTCAAAGTTGATTTGAAAATGGCTTTAATACTATAATTATAATGCATTTATTTGAGTCATTTTATATCATTAATCAATAATTTTATAGTCAACATTGATGTGAATTAATGAAAATTGGCCATCAATAAAAAATAATATTAAAACTAAAATATAATATTAAGAAAAACTAAAATATCAATTAAATTAAAAAATAAATAAAATAAAAAAAAAAATAAAAAAAAAAAAAATAAATAAAATAAAATAAATAAAAAATAAAATTAAAATTTTGGTTTAAATTAAAATTTTAAAAATATATAAATAAGAAGAATAAAATAAATTAATAAAAATAACAATAAAAATGTAAATAAAATAAAGAATAAATTAAATTCATAAAAAAAAAATTAAAATAGAAATAAAAATAAAAATAAAAATATAAATAAAAATAATATAAAAATTGAAATTAAAGTTAAAATTAAAATAAAAACAAAATTAAAAATATAAATAAAAATAAAAATTACAAAATTAAAAGTAGAAATAAAAATAAAAATTAAATTCAAATTTGAAATAAAAATAAAAATTAAATTCAAATTAATATGTCAGATTGTGCCTCATTTAATCTATGTGCTACTCAGTCAGCCCATATCTCCGTCACACTGCCTGCTCCATCAGTCCATCACTCATCATGAACAGTGCTATATAAATTAACTTATTTCAGATCTCGCATTTCATTCAAATCATCCTTTCGATCCTGTTTTCGCGCTCCCTCTTTCATTCTATATATTTATGACTAAAGCGCAAAACTTTTCCAATTATCTCTTGGCAGTCAGCCAATCTACCTAAAAACCAACCACACCAGCTAAACCAAAAATAGTTTACGTAACCAGCACCGACCACTGCCGCTAAGCAGATTTTCCACAATTACATTTGCGCTGTGCCCGAAAAAAAAAAACAGTAAGAGAAGAGAAAATAAAACACTATATGACATAATACAACATTTTATTAACCCACACAAAGTTGGCAAATGTCAAAAGCAAATGAAAAAAAATAGAAAAAAAAAAAAAACAGAACAGAACAGAACAGGACAGGACAGGACAAATCACCATCATCAGGAGCAGCGGGCATGCCACAATTTCATTTTCGTTTCGCAACGTTTTTTATTTGCCACATTACGACTTTTTATTCGTCCGCAGCTCAACTCAGCTCGGTTCGGCTCTGCTCTCCGTTACTTCTATTCATAATGGAGGCGAGTTACTATTTTTCCCCCCTGGCCAGCGCCACACACCTCTCACTCTCTCCCTCTCTCTGTCTATCATTCTCTCCCTCCTCTACGTGCCCATGCCGTTATTCACGTACGCGACTTCGAAAACTAAGCCTGACGTCCTGCGGCATGTCCTCATAATCCGTTAGCAGCCTAGTTCCAGTTCCAGTTATGCTGACTCAGTTGGGAGTTTATTCAGCAGAACTGCGAAAAAATAAAATGAAACACACGCACACACAACTGCCACGCCCACCTCTCGCCCCCCTAGCCGCATAAAATATGCAATGCGACAGCAGTCGGACGATCAGGTCGCAGCCCCAAACACAGAGCCCCCACACCCCTCCCCTCTGCTCCAGCCGCCTCGCGGGTCCGTTGTCAACTGTTTGGGGAGCAACTGCTTAGTTATGTGCATATGGCAGTCAATTGGTGTCGTGTCCTGTCGCGTGTCGAGTCCTGCTTAAGGCGTAGGCGTGCCCTTTTTTTATGACCTGTCTACTTTTTTTTTTTTTTTTTTTTTTTTTTGGTGGGGGCGGATTTTGATTTTGGTAGAGCTGATTTTAGTTTACATATTTTGTTTGTGGAAAATGCGAGGGGGAGGAGGGAGGGTGGTAGAAGAGAGAGAGAGAGAGAGAGAGAGAGAGAGAGAGAGAGTGGGGGCACAAACTAGTGGAATTCTGCTAAGGAGATTCACTTCAAGTTCTACAATTCACAGTTATTAAATAAAAATTTATCTTTTCAATACTTTAAAGAGCATTGTAGAGTTTCTTTAACTAAGGAAAATGCTAAAACATTTCAGACATAGACATAGAAATTGGCTTACGAATCTGAATCGAATATGCTCAATTGCCTAAATTTCAGTCCAAGGTCCTAGGTCTACTTTATATAAGACTTCACTTTAAACTAATATTATTTAACTGATATTATAAATATATAAAATGAAAGCAAATCTTTTTTAAGTTTTTTCATAACCTAAAGTAAGCTTATTTGAAGGTATATCTGTTAACTGACAATAAATATATATATATAAACACAAACTAGATTTCATTTTTTTAAAGTCTTACCGTTATTTTTAATGATCAAATATACAAATACTCTAATATTTATTATTAAAGAGCTATTGACATTTATCATAGAACTAGTAAAAATTATATAAAATGTCATCATCATATCATCTGGATCAAAGATATCATATATAATTAAGCTAACTAAATATTTAGAATATTTTAGAAAGAAAAATTTCCGATTTAGCTAATGCAAACTTCAACTTGAAAAGCATAAATATCAAGCATATATATATATGGGTACACTCTCACACACAAATATATATAGTTGTAGCTAAGGAAGCTTGAAGAAATTAACAGCGTAGTTAGCCGCTACGAAAAGGTAGCGCACCATGAAAAAAAATTCACAGAGAGTAAGAGAAAGAGAGAGAAAGAAAGAGTAGCAGATACTTAGAGCAGAGAGCCGAAAAAAAGGTGCAGGAATGACATGTTACTTAAATGAGCAAGTTTGTTGGAAACAATGTCGACAGTGTCTAGACATCAGGCAGCAGGAGTAGCAGCAGGAGGAGCAGGAGTAGCAGCAGCAGCAGCAACAGTTAAAGCAGCCAAGTTGAATCTTTCTCGTGTAAGTGAACCTCTCAAGGATTGGGAGCAACAACGACTACGGCAAAAGGGCCGTGTGGGCGTGCAATTGTTGTCATGGGCGTGGCAGCAACTTGAGTGAAGTTGGCAACGAGCAGTAGAAAAACAACGGCAGCAACAACAACAGCAACAGCAGCAAAAACAACAACAACAATCGGCATCCAGCAAAGACAGAAACTTATCGTTAAAGTACGAAAATTTGTGCAGAGCGCACGCAATTTTCTCCTTCTATGCCATTTCGTCTACTTTGAACTTTTGCTGCTGCAACTGCAATGCTGGCCATCAGCTAGCCGTACATCAGAGTTGGTATTTGGGGAAAAAGTAGATGCATACATACATACATATGTATACGTATAGATGCTTTAAGCGAGTAAGATGCAAATGTACCAAAGTGGAAATGAAGGTGTACCAAACTTAATTGCAAATGGAAGAATATTTCCTTTTATTATTATGATTATTTCTTTATTTTGTATTTTTATTATTATTATTTTTTAATTTATTATTTTGAAGTTTTCAAATTTGTTATTTGTTGTTGTAAATTTATGTGATTAACATGTAAGTATATATAATTTATCAAATAATTATGTATGTAATTGTTTGCAAAATTTATTATTGATAAGAAGTAACATAATATGATTTATTATGCTCAAATTATAGTCCATATTTCTATATATTCTAGAAACATACCTTTTAATTAATATAGGTGTAATTTCAAGTAACTTTTATTTTGTGATTTGATTTTATAAGTAAAGCAGATGGAAGTTAAATATTAATTTTTATTTAAAATGAATTAATGTTTGTATTGTACAGTTTATTAAAGCCGTTTTGTAGATTAAAATGTACCTATGTAAGTGATGTACCTAAACATATACAAAAATTTACTGAAATTAACTAAAAAACAAAGCTGTTTTGTAGACAGTAGCAGATTCTCCAGATTATAATGTACCTAAAATGATACTAACATTCACTGAAACGAACTAATAATGTACCAAAGTCGAAATAAATGTACCTAAATGGTGTTTAATATACCCAAAATAATGCTCAGATAATATCATTGAAAAGGTGTACTCTACTGCCTCAGAGGGTACCAAAGTCACATCCCAATGTGTCCAATAAATACAATTTTACTTTTTTTTCTAACCAATTTCAAGTGTACCGTATCAAAAGAGTCCCAACTGAATTCAAATGTCTCGAAATGATCCCAATTGTAGCCACAAAATGTACTCAATAAAAGGAGAGCACCGCACACATACAGATACACATCCCTGTCTCTCGCTCTCTCTCTTTCTCGTTCTCTCTCCTTCGCTCTCTCCTCACATCCGCTGCAGTTGGGTGTATTGCGTTTTGTGCACTGTAATCACGAAATCGTGTCGCCCACTTCTGAACTCTTAATGGCAATCGGTGTAAACGTGCGCTCAAGTTTTCCGGGCTTAGTAGTTGTGCTCGTTTTGTAGGTGGACATAAATATTTATCTTTTGGCAAAAACTTGTTTGATATTTTACTTCAGTTTTTCCCTCTCCACGTGTGTGTGTGTGTGTGTTTGTGTTTCTGCGTCTGATGTTGGCCATGCACACAGAGTTTTCTTTGCAGTTTTGTCAGCCAAAACTTGGCAATGTTTTGCAACATTCGGTGCATAAATTATAAGCTTGCAACATGGTCAAATGCACAGAAATCGTTGCAGTTACTCTGACAACTCTGACGGCGATGTTTGCAGCAATATATTATGCTACAGCAGATCAGAGCAAATTCCCATAACAGATTTACAGCGAGGAACGTTGCTTTCTTTTGATTTTTTATTATTACTAAACGTGCAGAGGTAATTGGAAGTATTAAGAGATGCCTTTGGATATGATTTTTTGTTTTTAAATGATAGTGCCAGAAGTTGTTATATGTTTTATAAATATTAAATACTAGCACATAAGTAGTTATAGATTTCTGCATTTAGTTGAGAAGAAGAAGAATTGCGAGCGAGAAAGAGAGAGTAAACTGCTTCCACAACTTGCAGTAAATGACAAATTTAAGTTGTGCATGAACAAGGGAATTCGTTAAGAGTGTGGAATTTACGGAGAGAGAGAGAGAGAGAGAGAGAGAGAGAGAAGAGAGAAGAGAGATTGTAGTATCTCCTAAGCAGTAGTAGTGGACGACTTATGACACGCTGTGTGTATGTGTGGCTCTGTGTCATTTTGGGTATGAGAATGAGTGAAGGAGAGTGAAGTAGTAATGGAAAGGTTTTGCCAAAGTTTGAGTGTGTGTGTATGATTTGCATGTTTATGGCATTATGTATACGATCGCAAGCGTCTAGGGCATGGGAATGAGTGAAATTAAGAGGGAGAGAGTGAGAGAGGTTACTACTGCGAACACTCATATTAAATGTGAGCGTGGCTGTCTGTGTGTGTATGGTTGGGCATGTGTATGGGTGTATATGTGCGTTAGATCATAGAAGACAGAGAGAGAGAGAGAGAGAGAGAGAGAGAGAGAGAGAGAGAGGTGTAGTACTTCTTAGTTGTTGCAGTGGAAAACTTATGACTAGCTGTGTATGTGTGGGCTTGTGTCCTCATATACGGGCGATCATCTTGGGTATGGGAATGAGTGACAAAGAGAGAGATAGATAAAGAGAGAGAGAGAGAGAGTGAGAGAGAGAGAGAGTACTACTGCGAACACTCATACTAACGTATGTGTATATGATTGTACATGCGTATGGGTGTGTATATGCGCTAGGGGATCAAGTGGAATGGAATGAGAGAGAGAGAGAGAGAGTGATTATGTGTGGGCTGCATCTTGAGAGAGTACTAGTTGTATGACATGTGTGTATATGTAGGTACATTACTGAGGATGCTGCCAGAGCAGAGTCAGTCTGAAAGTAGATCTTGTGTAGAGAGGTTGTGGGGCAGAGCTTGGCTGCTGCTGGGACTCGATATATAATAGTGCAAAGATAATAGCAGCTAGTTTCCCAATAAATATTTATACATAATTGTCTGCTAGACCTATACATTTGATGGACAGTTTCTATATCACACATAAGTCGCAATTCCATTTCACTAGTTAATCGAAATATATTTTGCAATTTAAGTTTCCAATTAAAAATAAATATGCTTCAACAACTTCTTCTTCAATTCACAGCTTAGTGCAGTGATAACTTTTAATTACTTAAAAATAACTGAGAACACAAATGCATATGCCCTATGCTCAGTGCCCCGTGCCCCTTGCCCCGTGCCAATTGAGCAACGTCCCGCTGTTTACTGCTCAACCCTTCGATGGCATTCAATTTACGAGAAAGCGGAGCGAGCCATCAGTGTCCTCGAAATGTCAGAGTTGCAAAACTTTGCCATCGTCTTGGCGACTGCCCGAGCCAGATCCTCTTCAGGCCGTGCGGCTGCTGCCAGGAGTCGAAATGAAGCCCGCAAAACCGCAGCACAATAAAATATTTCCCTATCCGGGCAGTGCAGAGGGCGCCAAGCAGATTCAGTTGAATGCAAACTCAGAATGCATGGACCAATGCGACACTTGCACAAAAGTTCCGAGCATTCAGGATCCAGACACAAACAACGGCCCGACGACGCCGACGACGCAGGGATAAAGAAAGTATGTGACTCTGGGCGTAACACAAAGTAAAAAAAAATACATATATATATATATTAAACTATATATACGTACATATATAAAGAACAACTTCAACTCGACACGTTAAATTAAAATGTCACATAAATCTTTGCGGCAAATTTCATTAAAATACGCTTACAGCATAGAGCGCAGCGCCAACATGAATTGCAGACTGTAGAGTGGAGAGGAGTCCGGCCCCTCCTTCATAAAACATTCGCATACGCCCACAAAGCCACAAAACTTTGCACTTTAAGTAAAATGTCGACGACGACGTTGGATTTTTGAATGGAAGCCACTCGGACAATGCCCCCATTGGAGTGCGGAGGGGGCATTTGCAATAAACTCAACTTTTGTCGGGTGAACTGAACAACAAGAGCTGGCGAAATTGATACGAGAGACGCCAGTTAACTAAATAAGAGCTTGTTGAAGTATTTCAGCTATGAATATTTTGAAAAATTATTAAATACTTCTCGAGGTTCGTGGGCAAAAGTATTAAGAAGAGGACACTCTGAAAAGGAGTTTAGCTGAAGAGGGGGTTCTTATCTTGAAAGGGTATATGAATTTTAGATAAATTATGACTAGTTAGATCTGTGTAAAATAAAAGATAAAAGTGAAGTTCATATTGATTGATCTAATAGTAAACGGAAATATGTAAACCATCATTTGCCATTAGAATGTTAATAAATATTAAAATAAAATATTAAAAACAAAAAAAAATAAAATAAATAAATAAATAAAATTAAATTAAATTAATAAATATATAAAAAAAAATGTTAACAAAGTAATTTTAATGCATATATATATGTATTGAACTTAGATTTTTTGTTATTAATTTTTATATTTGTTAAGTTACATATATATAATATAAAAAAAAAGGAAATTAAATAAATAAAAAAAAAAATAAATAAAAAATAAATTAACTAAAATTGTCATTTGAGCTATTTTTAATCATACTGATTTATCTTAATATTCTTTTGTAATATAAACTTCATTTATATTATTATTTTTATGACAGTGACTGAAGCGGGCTTCATTTGTTATTTATAAATATAAAAAAAGTACCTGTATGCTATTATTATACCCTATAAATGTATGTATATGTAAAATTTAAAGCAAAAAAAAAAAAAAAAAGTTTGTAAGCTGTTTAGCTTATTATATTTATGGTCTCTTCTAATTTACCCGTAAATTAAAAAAAAAAAAAAAAAAAAAAAACTATTACTTAACAGAGCCTCTATAAAAATATATACAATACGCCTGTTCAAATTTATGCAATAATTTATAATTATACTCAACATATAATAAAATATATATATACGTAATTTTGTATTTTATTTTTTGCAGCTTATTGTCATCGACTCAAGCAAAGGTATATGCTTGATTCATGTGAACAGATATTAATATGCTTAATATTTTAATATTTTTAAAGGTGGATTTCTTTGGATTTTTTAATATGAAGGCACAATTTTTAATAGAAATATAAATAAACCAAACCCATTTTAAAGTCACTTTAAAGGCCGCAGCTCACCTAGTATTATTATTATTATTACCTTAGTATTATCAGTAATATTATCGCGCTCAAATTGTACCTATTTATATGCTCTAACCCACCCCAGAATCAGAACTTATGCAACAGTTAACAATCAGGTATGCGTCGTATGATGCTCACCTGGGAAAGTAGAGTCGCACAATTTCGCCGGGATGGCCTTTGATGTGATAGCTGCAGGAGGTGTTGGGTGGATACCAGTGGGCGATGCTCAGGAATATGCCCTCGCTGGCGCTGCTGTCCTTCAGCGAATCGGAGCTGAGCAGCCAGTCGCAGACGCCGTGCTTGATGCCCGCCGTCTCCACATGGCCTGGCCAGTTGCCAACATTGAAATGAAAGCCCGTATTGAGCAGCGGCCCCGCCGGCGACGTAACAAACTCCACGTACATGTATTGTGAGGTGCCTGCGGTTGGGAATCGCAACTCTGGTTAGCTACGGAGCCATCGGCAGTGCCGGCATTGTGCTTACCAATAATGCTGAATGGAAACTTGCCCAGGCCGCAGAATTTGCCTATCAGCGGCGAGTGCTCATCGCGGCCATCATAAACGGCCAACCAATCGTAGGGGCAGTGCTCGTTGCCAGATCCAATCGGCCTTATAGGGCAGGTCATCACGTTCTCACATCTGCAACGAGAGCAACATTATTTCAATTCACCATTTGTCACTCGCAGCCATTCACAGCTCATTCAAACACTCGAGCATTCGAACACAGCGCACAGAATTATGCTTTGATTCATCAAACGGTTCGATTTCAGACGGCACGTTAATGAAACTCTGTTTTTAATCGCCGCACAAAGCACAAATTGCAATTAGTGCTGGCTTTATGCTGGCCGGAAGTGATCGACTGGGAGATACCTTGTAGCTCGAAGTGTTGTTAAACTTATTTTTAGTATTTTGTTCAATTTATTTTTAGTATTTTGTTAATTTAATTTTATTAAATTTATTATTATATTTTGTTTGCATTTTGTTAAATTTATATTTAATAATTTTAATTTATTCTAATCTTATTAATTCAAACCAAATTTTTCCATTTTCATAAATTTATTAATATTATAATTATGTTTAGCATTTTGTGAAATTTACTAAATTATATATATTAATTTATGTAGTAATTATTTTTATTTATTTATTTTTTTTCATTTGATTAACTTCATTAAACTACATTTATAAATATTAAATTTATTTTTGACATTTTGTTAAATTTATTAAATTATATTTCTTCATTTTTGTATTATTATTATTAATTTATAATTTGGTTAAATTTATTAAACTAAATTTATTAATACTAAATTCAGATTTAGCATTTTGTTAAATTTATTAAATTAAATTTATTCCTTAATTTTTTTTTTCAATTTGTATTTTAAATAATATTTAATTTTTTAATTTTGTTAAATTTATTATATTAAATGTATTATTCTTAAATTTATTATATTCAGTTTATTAATTTTTAAATTATATTAAGTTAATTTTATGTATTATTTAATTATATCTTTATTTATTTATGATAGATTATAATTAATATAAAATTAAAAATGACTTAAGTATTAAGCATTTATTAATTTGATTTTAATTGCAAATTTGGCAATTTTTCAAGCGCTAATACATATTATATATAAATATATTTATTTAATTATTAAAAATTACAATAAATATAAAATTAAACCGAACTTCAAAATTATGCCCTGGCAACTGTGGCTCATTAATATTTATTTTTGTCTGCTTAAATCGATGAAAATTTAATTTAGGGGTTTCGATTTCATATAGCTATAACCATGGACATGACTAGAAGGATGCAGCTCGTTGCCTAGATCAAGCACATCTTTAGGTTACGTTGTCAAGCACGGCTCCTGCTGCCTTCTGTGTTACTTAGTCAAGCATCGATATCGATTATATAATAAAAATCCATTTTAATTGGGTTCACAGTGTAAAGCAATAGAAACAGCTGAAAAGTTGCCCCACTGAGGTGAAGGTGAGGCCGGACAGGTAAGCCAGGTGGGAGCTGCTCCAAGGTACTAAATCTAATTAAATATACTCACACATTCATGTCTATTGTATATATCCAATAGAGATATACATATATGTATGTTCTTCTCACGTAAAGCCCCCCCTTTGGCTACGCCTATGGCGCTGACATTCATTTCTAAATCGTCAGTTTTTAAAGCTTTTTTTCCAACTTTAACTTGGGGCGCACGCTGCTCCCTGTTTACCTTCTCTGTTTTACCTATTTTGTTTTTCTTTTTGACTTGACTCCGAGTTTGGCCTAGACAAAGTGACCTTTGTGCAGCGATTCGCCCTGGCTAGGCCATTGATGAGGTCTGAAACCCGGATGCTCTTTTGCCAGCCATTTGTTAGCAATACAATTTGTGAGAAGGTGGAGAATTTCATGCCGATTCAAAAGGCAAACGAAATGCCTTTCACCTGACGCTCGTCCCTCTCCCTCTCCCTCTCCCACTCCCTATCTGTGTGTGTGTGTGTGTCTGTTTTTGTGAACTTTCTAATTGAAAGCTAACTTTGGCAATTACGTACTGGCCTTTAATCAAATGCGGGCCGACAATTGGCAGCCGTAGCGTAGAGGCGAGTCCGTCCGTGCGTCCGTCTGCCGTGTGATTTGAAAGTGCAACAAAAATGCCAATTTAATTGACATTTTATTGAGCCTTTGACTGTCGTTGGCAAACTTTGAAGAAGAAGCAGCGGCAGTAGAACTTTTTGCTGGCCGTAAAAAGTTTTTGGGTTCTATCTATTCCTACAGTGTCTGCCGGTCTGTCTATCTGTCTGTCTGTCTATCTGGCCTGTACGTTTCTATTAGCCGGACAGTTTTGTTTCTCGTTTCACTCAATTTAATCACTTTGTCAGCCAAAGTTGCGCCTTCGCCGCTTTCAGCTGTGTCTGGCGCAAACCTAATCTAACTTATTGATAATAAATGCGTAGGGCAAAAAGTTTATTACATATACGTTATACGTTATACGTTACGATATATATATAATTTTCTTTTGGCCCGACGAAAGTTTTGCCGGCCAACAGACATATCAAAAATAACTGACTGGTAATAATTTCGGCATATTAAAAAACTTTTTTCTCGATGACTTTTGCATTTATTTCGCCCCGAAAAAGGAAAAAAGTTTTACTAAAAGTTTGCCTCGTGTATGTGTGTATGTGTGTGTGTTTATTTGTAAGTTTGTGCTGGGCTTTTGTGGAGAAGAAACTGCTACGTTGGCAAAATGTTTTCGATGTTTGCAGCGCAGAAATTAGAAAAATTGTTTCGCAAAACTCGGCTGGCAAACGAGCCTCGGCATCGAAATAAACTGAACTGATTTATAAAGGAGCCAAAGGCAGAAGTTGCCCCAGCGCTGACTTGGCATAACCACATGCTTATACAAATACAGACGCACTCACACACACACACACACACACGCAGAGATGTGGTCAGGTCATTGCTATCGAACCTGCTTATCGTGTGTGGAACTTTGAGTGTTTTATGAACTGGATTTGATGGAGCTTTGTGTAATGGCTTAGATGGATTACGCTGATTGTTTGTAAACAGAATGGCCACACACACACGCACACACACAGACACACATATACGCACACACATAATTAAGCTATGCATCTATAGTCGCATTACAATAATATTTGATTGAACTCATTGCACAAATGGCCTAAGCCAATGTGTGCATAAACAAATTTGGAAATCATAAAGTGGATAAAGAGTGGATAAAAGCCTTGGCTGCCCTCAGTAGATGATTTTGCTTCCAGCTGCTCTTAAAGTGGGAAGTGGGAAGTCAGTGGAAATTTAAGAAAACTAACTTATGATTTCTTATAATATCGTAATAAATATAATAATTAATTATATTTTTTTGAGACAGGCAAATTACGCCGTAAAGGTTCAAAGCGATTATTTAAGAGATTTTATATTCAAATGGTATTGTTAAGAAAACTACATGAACAAAATAAATTTATTATCATCGTCAATTCGAAAAAATTGTGTTTTTCTTAAAAAAAAAAGTTATGATAATAATAATAAAAAATAATAATAATACTAATAATAATAATAAATAATTAAAAATGGGTTCGTCGATAATGGGCAACCTTGTAGGGTTGGCAGATGGGTCCCTCATATATAGACAGCTCTGTATACATAATGTTTTGCTGCAATATCATGAGAGGCTTTGCTTGATTGAGTTGCTTAAGTGTTATAAGAAAGCTGAAATATAAATAAGTATATATAAATACTTTTGATAAAACTCAGCCTAGCCACGATGAGTAAGACAAACCCTAAACAAATTTTTAAAAACATATGCTTGTCTATTGGATGTGTTAAACAACCTGCCTTCAGAATTTGCTACAGAACATTGAAGATCTTAGTGAAAGCCTAAAGTGAAGTGTGATTATTAAATCTCTGATTATTACTTTAGCTTATTTCAAGTACTTAAAATTTATTTAAGCAACTTTCTGCTGATTTTCAAAAATCTTTAAAAAAACCCTTTGAAAATAATGATAAATGTCAAAGACTTGCAAACTGAGCTCAGTCAGCAGAGTTCCTGGTAAGGTCCTATTGAATAGCCAGGACAACAAGCATGCTTTGGGTTTAGTTTAGGTTGACTAAATGTTTGAGGAATTTAGGACAGGCGGCGAGCCAATGCAAACAGTGACCCGAGTCAAACAACATTAATGGAATTTCGGCACTGAGAAGCCTTTCGATTAACTCGATGCGAGAGAGTCGGCGATTAGCTCGTTTTGTTTGAGTAATCCTTTTCGGTGTACCCCGCTCGGCCGGCCGGGTCTGTCTCAACTTGGACTTGCAAATTAATACGCACTTAAAGCGGATTCCCAACTAGTCCGACAGCACCCACAGCCACACCCATCAAGCAGGAGACCCAAAAGTTGCCAACTCACTCAGCTCTGGCGCTGTCAAAGTTGGCGCTCGTCGCTGGCGAGGACTTTACAGTCGCTCAAAAGGTAAATATTCAAATTGAATCTATAAAAATAAATTGAATGCTGCTTATCTAATTTCAGCTGGGCGGCGCCCGACTTGATGTGCACGTGCGACTCCTGCCAGCAGCAGCAACAGCAGAAGATGTAAGAGTGCGCGACTCTCTCTCAAATATGCTGACTCGGCTGGCATTTGCACTCGAAACAGCTTCGACTTGCTTAGTGCCACTTCTGCTGGCCATTTGCAAATGGCCCTGGCACATGGGTCTTCGCCATTCGCATATCGTTAACAGTGAAGCCCGATGATAATGCACAAATGCCTGGCGATGTTTAATGATTGGCCGTCGCCTCTGTGAAGGGCAAATGGAAATTGTGTTTTACTGCCAGCCCAGGTAAGCTAAAGGGCTGAAGGGTTGTGGGTCTGAAGGTCTGTGGGGGTTTGGCCACATCAAATATTTAAGCTCTGATTTAAGCTCCAGCACGCACAGCTGGCATTTCGGCATGTGTCCCCACTGAGCTGCTAATATTCCCAGACGATGCTCAGTTCCAGGGCATGCTTAAAGCTTAAAGTCAACTTTTTGCTTCAATGTTTCTTCAATCAAGTTTTCTTTATTAACTGCTTGACTTTTGAGCAGCTGAAATTAAAATACCTCCATCAATCCATAAGCCCAAACTTACGCCCTTCATCTCCAGTCGCAGCTTAAAATGAGCTGAGTACCTGCTCAACGGCATAAATTCATAATTATTCCCTGGGATACATCTCTGGGGGAGGCCTTGAAATTGCGCACGATTGCAAATGCGTTGAGGCCTGCGCGAATTAAGTGGACAACGTAGCTGCCATAATGACTCAATCGACACTCGACTCGAGTGCTGCAGGCGCCAGCCGCCAGCTGATGTATTGGCTTAAACAGTTGGCCAGCTGACGAGGGCCCCGACTGAGGTCAAGTGACGCATATGACTATTGACATTTGGCTGAAGACCGAGGCTCGGGGCGGAAAAAATGGTTTATGCCAGAGTGAAAAGAAAACATCAAATATACATATATACATATTAAATATTGATTATGTGGAGATAAAACAAATATAAAAGAGAAAGAAAAAATAAAATGGGTCTATTATGAGAAGAAAATATTTATTTAAAAATATAAATAAATAAATATAAATATAAATATAATTAAATATATTGTTTTTATGGCTGCCCTTTTATAATATTTTTATATTTTCTGCATATATATTTTTAATAAAATAAATATAATAAATAAAAAAGTTAATTATATGTATATTTTTATATTATTGATTAAATAATTCAAATTTAAAAAATATTATTTATTATTAATCAATAAAAATAATTTTTAAAAATATATCGAAAGCACACATAAAATAAAATTAAAAAAAAAAAATTAAAATTGTAACTTTGATGTGTAGAAGGATGCATATAAGGATGCTGTGAAACCATTAAAGACTTCGTAGAACCATAGAAAATTCATAGCTGTCTTAAAAATCAACCCCTTCCATTATATTCTACTTGATTTTATCCTCTTACTTTAGCTTTAAAATATTGAATATTTGCAAGTTTCTTGTTTATCGTAAATCAACTCGTAAAAAGTCAAAAGTTTTTTATGCCGCAAAGTAATGGAACTTTTAGGATAACACCAATTTCTACTTGCATTTGGGCTTTAAAAGAAAGATGAAAATGAAGAGAAAGGAAAATCAATTTGAAGTCCCAAACTTTAAAGACCTAGATAGAAAGACAGCATAAGAAAACTTTATTCATTTAACTCTTAAAGATTTAGTTAGATTGTATGTAAAAATATTTATAGTATAAAATAGAAATTAGTTTTTATAGCTACCAAAGCATTTCCTTATATTTTTCCCTACACTCTCCTTCCACATTGAATTTGGAATAGCTCTTGGTGTAGCAAAGCTCGCTAAGATCTCAGGTAAAAATCCCCATTTAGACAGCAAGCGTTGCCGTTGCTTTCGCATCAATAATAGAAAATCGTCAAATGGCTGTTTTAAGCTCCGCAGCGAATCCCAAAAAATCACTCAGAGTGTAATCCTTTAGCCAATTTGAATGCAGACAGACAAAGTGCAGGCGAGTGCTGAAAAGGCGAGCAGGAGCAGGCAGCAGGCGGCAGGAGGCGGGCAAAAGGTACTAATGGGTTGGGTATGGATCTAGGATTGGGGAATTCGGGTCTGTGACATGTCGCCAACGATTTCCACGGAATTGGTGCCAATTTTTGCCGAGCGCTCTGTCAAATTGTCATTGTCAGCATGCCAAATGCATTACTACAACAACAACAACAACAGCAGCAGCAGCAGCAGTAGAGGCTCCTACAACAACAAGTGCAAAGACAGAATACACGTAATGTTGACTGCTAGCCAATGGCAGAAAAAAAGATGGAGTCAAAGAAGGGAAAGACGGGCCTAAACAACTGTCTAATACTCGCTTAGGATTTGTCGAGAATTTAGTTATATAGTTATAGGAAAATTCAGCTTGAAAACGGACAACGATTTTGTTTTATATATATGACACTGTTCATATAATATTTTATACAAATTGATATACATTATTTACATTAAATTAAAACAGAAATATATTTAATTTTCGTTTTAAAGTTATATTTTATATATACTCAAAAATTATATTATATATTTTAAATAGGTATATAATACATAAAAATGTGTATTTTTTAAGTTTATTTTTATTTATTTAATTTTATTTAATATATTTTTATAAACTCAGATTTAAAATTTTGTATTAAATTTATATTTTATTTTAATACAGATAAATTTCTTAATTTTTTTTTTTTTTTTTTTTTGTGTTATTATATATTTGTTACTATTATTATATTTTTATAAATTTGTAAATATTATTTTTTAGTTTTATTTTTGTAATTTATTTTTATACAATAAATTTTTCTAAAAAAAAAAAATAAAATAAAATAAAAAGCTGGTATTAAATTTATGTACTTATATTTTATATAAATTTTTTTTTTTTTTAATTTATATAAAATCATATTTGAAATATATAATTTATATTATTTACTATTATTATTATTAGTTTTTATTTAAATATATGTACATATATATCATTTTTATAAATTTGTTAATATTTAGTTTTATTTCTATTTCATTTTATCTGCATCATAAGAAACAAAGTTTCGTGTCTCTTCTCAAAGCCAATATACTCCTTTTCAAAAATATACTGAGCCAGCATACAAAATGCCAAAAAAAAAAAAAGAATGTGAAAAATTTGGAATTGCAGTCGACGTTGTCTGTGCCAAAATGACAAATTACAGGGTGTTAACTTGGCGCTAATTTCTTTCGGCAATTTGCATTTGCATATATTGCACATAGCACACCCACACACACACACACACACACACACTCATACATCCATTTATATTGGGTTTCGTCTCTCTGTCTCTGTGACATATCTCAGCTGCTGCACTTACCTCTGGCCATCGACCGCGAACTGTTCGTTCTGCAGATATAATTTGATGTACGGCTGTCGCGTGTGCAATTTGTAACGGCAGTTGAGGGCGCGCGGATATAGGCCCGGATAGGCGGGCGACTGGACGTAGCAGGTCTGCAGTCGGCAATCGCGATACTCTCGCTCGCAGTACGAACTGTGAATTGGAGAAGAATTGTAATTAAATTCAATTAGTTGCTGTAGATATCTGAAGCAAGTTCTCTCTCCCTCTCTCTCTACCCCCCTTTCTCTCTCTCTCACACATTCCGTGTCGCCCCAAATAAATGTCGCCAAGTCTCAAATTTCTCGTCAGTTTCTCTCCTGGGCACAAATCCAACAAATTAATCGCTGGAATTGCCCGTCAGGCCGAATCGAGTCCAGCCACGCCCACTCCTAGCCCAGGCAGCGTGCAGTGAAACAACAAAAGCAGAAAATTGTGCTCAGTGATTTGGAAATTCTTGAGCTTTTGCCTGGGACTGCGAGAGAGAGACCTTGTAAAGTTGTTGTTGCTCTTGTTGTTGTTCGAATTACAAGAACAACTGTTCGAGAGTGTAAGAAGGAGCCGTGCGTATAATTTTCAATTTGTTCAAGCCAAACAAAGCGCATGCTAGCCAGGGTTGTCAATGTTGTCCGGATGGTCGGGGCGGTCGGGGTTGTCGGCGGGCGGACTGCATAAATATGATTACCATTTACCATTTTATTTGCACTCTAAATTTCGATTCAACTTTTTTCTTCTTTTACTCTTCTAGGAAATTTGCCTTTCATTTGGGTTTGCTTTTGACTTCCGTTGAATATTAATACCCTAGATTCAATAGGGTTTTGGGGTGGGGTATGCGATATGCATGATATACCTAGTTGATATGAAGAACTAAAATGATTGAGTATATAAATGGGAACTAAATCTTGTTCTTGATATTCTATATATATACGATATTATACGATATATTACTATATATACGATATAGAGCTAAAAATAAATTTGTTATATATATAGAAAAATAATTAACACTTGCTCTGCTTCACTTTTGTAGATCTCTTTAGATACTTCCCTAACTTTTGCTCCTCTTTAAGTACAGATTCTATATTAAGTATATATATGGTATATATGATATACAAAATTACTAAATCATTAAAAAATCAAATCTGCCATATATAAAGAAAATAAATTATGCTTTGCTCTGCTTCACTTTTCAAGATCTCTTTAGGTACTTCTCTAACTTTTGCTGCTTTTCAAATAAAGAGCTTATATTAAGTATAGTAGAGATACATATAATATACAAAATTACTATAAAGATCTTATCTTAATAAAATATCAATTCTGCCTTATATAAAGACAAAGAACTAAGTCTTACTCTGCTTCACTTTTGAAGCCCTCTTTCAGTACTTCCCCAACTTTTGCTCGCCTTTAAGTACAGGGTATCGCCTAGTCTCGCCCTCTCCACCTCGTTCATTCAGGTCTTGCTCTGCGGCTTTGTATTGGTTTGCTCTCGTTTCAGTGTCGATGTCAATGTGCGTGACCCCAAATTAGCATAAAAATCATATTGGCAATGTGGACGCTTGGGAATTTGCTTGCTTCGCATTGCCTTGGGTATGGCAAAAATCTGATGACTGCAGACAGACAAATTAAGGCAGCCCAAGAGAGCGGCCTTAAAGCGTTACTGATTCACTGTGATAGGGATTGCTAGCTGAAGACTAACTGGCAATAGAATCAGCTCTACTTTAAAGCTAAACACTCTAAAATTCTCTCTGCTTGACTTTTTATTCATTTCGCGGCAGCTCAGCTGGCTGTGAAAAGAGGCTATTAGATATCCAGAAGTAATGTTCCAAAACTTGCAACTTATTTTATTAAGATAAAAGTTGGAGAGAAAGCAAGCAGGAGCAGCAGGAGGAGCAGGAGCAGAGCAGCGGGCAAATCAAATGAAATTTAATGTCTGCAAAGTTTTTGGGTCTAACTAAATGCTCGTCTTTTTCTTATATTATTATTTTTTTTGTGTCTTTTCTTTCTCTGTCCCCATGTGTCTCTCTCTCTCTCTCTCTCTCGACATTTTGCGCGAGTTTATGTTGCCGCAGTGCCTCGTGGCAGTCAGCCCCTGCTCACGCTCCGGCTGGCAAATTGTAATTCAATTTTATGCGACCTTCTGTTACAGCATTGCCAGCCAGCATTGCGCCCCATCTACAGCTCCGGCTCCACGCCCACAGTCGTTGTTCGCATATGATTATGGAATGTTCGGCTTCAGTTCCAGTTCGAGCGAATTGTCGGCGACATTGTTGGGTCTGTTGTGGGCCGGCTCGAAAAACCACTCAAGTTGCGTGCAACATAATAAAATTAAATTAACGCATCGCTGGCTACAAAGTAGTAACTGTCAGTTGTCAGCCACGCCCCCTCACGGCCCCCTGGCACATAAAAATGGCACAAAGGCGCTAAACATTATCGATAAGCTCGCAGCACAGCGGGCAGTCCACTCAGCCGTTCGCCCTCTTCATCTCCCAACTCCCCCAGTCTTCACCCGCCCACCCCCCTCTCGTTACGTATACGTACCCTTGCACCACTTCGCCGCGTCGATTTGGATATAATTCCGGATGTTGGCCATAGCGTAAATAGACTTCGGTTTGTTGTTCCGCGCGTGAATCGAATGTGAAGTAGGTCTGCAAATAGAAAAGAGAGAGAGAGAGAGAGAGATTGAGTAAGTGTGTGGGAGAGAGCAAGTGAGAGTGAGTTGAAATTCATGTATTGTTAGCGCGCTGTTGTCTTTCGCTCTGGCTACGCAAATCACGTATACGCACTGTTGCCCCAGTCAAGCTGCTAAGCTGCATGCCATTAGTAGTCCGCCCCCCCCCCTCTCACCCTCTCACAGATGAATTTTCGTCGATTTTTGTCCCAACTACGGCCAATCTAACCCGAGCAGTCTCCAGCGGAACCGATTGTCCGGCCAGGTGACATGCGGACATGAAGGCGTTTCCACTGTTTGCTCACGCTGTGTTGTTGTTCCACTGTTGTTGCTCGTCTAACTGTGCCCGCCTCGCTCAAACAGTGGCTCAGTCGTTGCTCTAGAAGCCCCATTTAGTCGTGCACCTCATCAGCGCTAATGACCTGCACTGCAGCTGCCGTTCCTCCGCCCACCCAGTCAAACGGAGGTGCCTGACAGCAAATGCAGCGAATCTCACTTCAATTTTGGTCGAAATTGAGAAGCAAAGAGAAGGGCTTGTTTTAAGGCTTTGCAATGGAAGAGGAATCATTATCAAGCTAGATTGGAGTTAGTCACTTAACTAAGTTGAGCTAGTGAGCTCGAATCAAATGTTGGAAACGTTTATCTATATTTTGTTTTAATTTTTAAATTATTTTCATATTATTTTACACACAAATAAATATATTTTGACTATGAGATCGACTCAAGATTAAATGTTCTTTTTGTATTCAGTTGCAAACAAATGGTAGCACTTAAAAAAATCCAGGCTAAAATAACTAAAACTAATTTTATGCCTTGCTCAATAAAATCATAAACATAAATAAAATGCTTAATAAAAATAAACGTAAATTTACATAAAATAATAAAAGTTCTCAACTTTTGAAGTATATTTTCAAATGGAACACAAAATATCAACGAATAATATATATACAAAAGCAAAAATAAATTAAAATAATAGTGCATTTATTATTTTAATTTATTTTTGCTCTTGTATATTTATTATTATATATAAGTTTGTGAAAAGTTAATAAAAATTCTAGAAATACATGAAATTTAAAAAACTATATATATACATAAAATATGTAAAATATATAATAATATATATATAATATATATTAAAAAATGTAATTTGTGTAAGTTTAGAGTTTTTATTAATTTTAAAAAAATATATGTATATTTCATATTTTTCTTTTCCTTTTTATATATATTAATTCCTTTTACTTATTGTATTTTTTATATATTTTTTTATTTAATATTATTATATTATTGACCATAATATATATTTATTTCACATAGTTTTATTTTCTTTAGTTTAATGAATTTTATTAAAAATTAATATCTTTAAATTAATATCTTTCTCTTTAATATATTTATTTATTTCACTATTCATTTATCAGTATTTCCAATTACATAAACCAATTATCGATTACACCAATTTCAGTGATAATTAACGGTTTTATCAAAAATGGATTCAATGAATACAAACAGTATTATTATCAGATAAAATCACATAAAATGCTATGCCCATCTATAGATCCCCATGCAAAATTGTTATATAGATGATGCTGCGAATCCTGTTGGTCATGGTCCTCGCTGATTTCTAGGGGGGCTCTGCACACGATGCGTATGCGTAATGCACATGTCAATATTAAATGCGTTACCGGCGTCAATGACGTTAGCGCCACTTAACGATCTGAACAATGGCGTACAAGCAGTCTGGCAAACGGGCGGACAGCCAGACAGACGGACGGACGAACGGACAGACAGGCCAACAGCCAGACAGCTAGTTGAACTGCCATCCTAGTCGAGGCTGCGTGCTATGGTCATGCCTCATGCCTGCTGCATCATGTCTGCTCCTGCCTGCTGCCTCCTGCCTGCTCCTGCCTCCTGCTCTCAGCTTCATATTTGCCGCATTATGCGACTTTAAATGCATTGAATATTTTTGAGCGCTGTTGCAGCTGCTGACGCTGATGCTGATGTCAATGCTGATGCGGATGCAATGTAGCGTGGCTGGCATTATCGCCATGGCAGCGACCTGCCCATGCCCCTGCTCCTGCCAAATTGGCCAGCGCTCTTCTTTTAATATGCTGGCAAAATTTGTGCACGAATAAATTAAAAAATCAGTCGGAATTTCGCTTTTGGTTTTTGTTTTTCGACGCTGTCACGAATGTCGCAATTTGTGAAAATTATTTTTGATTTATTTGCCATGAATTTATGTTAATGCGAAATTGTTTTCGTTTTCGCTTTACTTTGACTTTGCTCGGCTAGAGTGCAATCCAATGACTGCTGCTGATGGTGCGGCTTCTGCTCCTGCTCCTCCTGCTGCTGCTGCTCCTGCTGCTGCTGCTGGCATTGCTGTCTGCTCATTAAATTGTGTACGTGGCAATATTATTACATGCCAGCGCTGCTCTATTACTTTTATTTATTATATAGAATAATACCACTCCCGCTCCCCCATTCTCCGCTCCACTCATTCTCATTCTCCAAGGCATTCGTGCAAAATAAGTGGCAAAAAATTGTAAAGACGATGAGCGGGAAAAAGTTGCGCTGAAATCTGCGTGGCAAAAACAAAGCAGCAGCAGCAGGAGCAGAGCAGCAGCGTAACTCCGCCAACTCCGGCAGGAAACTGCGCTCTCAACTGTCTACCGAGCAGACAACTTCGAGCTGAGCGCGTAGCGAGTTTTCATAAATATTTATGACTCCATTAAGGTGTGCATAAGACACTCTGGAGGACAGCAGCAGGAGCAGCAGGAGAGGCAGGAGCAGCAAGAGCTCTGCCGGCTGAGCGTCTATCTGCTGCATGAGCCATTCGTTCATGGCATTAGGTTTGCTCTCTCACTTCCTCTCTCACTCCCCCTCTCTCTCTCTCTCTCTTGTCTTGTGTTGTGTAGGTGTGCTGCTGCTGCTGCTCCTGCTTACATCTGATAAAGTGCAGCATAAAGTTAAACCATGAAGCAAACAAGCAAAGAGAGAAAGAAAAAAAAACGTTGCTACAACAACATTAGCTCGACATCTTTGACTTTTGCCAGAGCGGAAGTAACTAACTGATATATTTTCTATAGAAATCTGAAGATTTTATATATATTAACAGATTATTTAGCTCTCATCTATATTCCATATGTATCCATGCCTATTATATATAGCTTTACAATTAGCCACATATTAAAAGACAATATACGAAAGACAATAAAAATTTCAAGAATTTTCATTCACAGCAAATAAAACTTTCACAGTTTTCCTTTTGCTCCTTAAATGGCATATAAAAATATATGTTGGTTTTTTTTTTATAGTTTATAAATTCTTTATGTGATATAATGATCTTATATTTAATTTTTGTTTTTTTATTGAAATGCAAATGCAGCGTAGCTCACGAAATAAAATCTGCGAAAGAGTACAACAGCAACAACGACAACAACACATGTCACATATTACGAGAGAGGTATGATGGACTAGCAACAATTTTTACCGACTTTTTATTGGGCATAGCGTATTGAGGTAAATAAAAAACAGATAGCAAAATTGTGTTTACTTCTAAAAGAAGCTGCAAGGAAAATTTTTTGTGTCTAACTCTTATGACAAGCGATAAATGTTAAAATTTGATATCGATTTATATCGATTCAAAGAAAATAAAAACAGTTTTCCCTCATTTGAACAAAATTTGAGCACTGAATTCTAGAGAAAAGTTCTCTTAATCTATCCCTGATTAACATACCCTATTCAAACACCATCAAAGGTCATTTACAGGGTATAGCCAGTGGGCAAACGCAACAGCCATGCAGCTAAATAGAATTCAAGTTGTGAACAGCATTTGGCATATACAACGAGTCGCCAGTCGGGCCAGCCCAGACCAAAGAGAAATGCCGCCAACTGGCAGAGGGAGGCAGCAGCAGGAGGAGCAGGAGCAAGCAGCAGGCAGCAGGAGCAGGCAGTCAGACGATAGTCGGGAGAGAGTAGGGAACGCCCACGTTCACAGCTAGCATAGACGTTCCACTGAATAATGCATGCAAAAATATACACATTTATATACATGCAAATACATATAAACATATATAAATGTGTGTATGTGTATTTGTGTGTGTGTATGTAGGTATATGAAAAGCTAAGTGCGAAAGTGAGTTGCATAGATGCAGCCAAGCAGATAGAGCAACACGGGTCACAGCCAAAGCAAACAAACAAAAAACAGAGATAGATAAAATGAAAATACATATATACATATACATATATGTATATGTATATCTATGTAAATGGACAAAATAAAAAAGAAAAGTATATAGATATTTTGGAGTGGGGTAGCAACGACTGCGTAATGCTCGTTAAGAGATCAATTACGAGTTGTAGGGGAATTAAATGAGATTGGAATACGAGCTTATAAATGAATGTGCAAAGTTCTTCTTCTTCCTCTTTACCTTCTCTCTTTGACACTATGTATCGAACTGACTAGATAATACCCTGTAGTCTGTGTGTACTTATATATATATATATATTACATACAACATTTTAGTATAGCATTATCATCTAATAATCTAACTCACTTAAGGATAATGATAATTACAGCACTCTCATCTGTCATAGGGTATCTTCCAGCTTGGTATTGCCGTTTAAAATACGCCCACAAGTTACAGGATATCTTCAAGTATGCCATTCTCTAAGAGGACAATCTTACATGCATCAAGCTATACCCTACTATAACATTCCCATTTCATTTCCACATTCTTACATTTTACAGGGCATCTGTCAGTTGGTTATGCCCAACCTACTGTGCTTTAAGGGCGTCAAAAGCTCGTGTGTTGTAATATTTTCTTTAAATTATGTGATAAATATGAATATACATACACATGCACATACATGTATATATGTTATACATACATATATTTATATTTAGAAGCAGAAAGTGTAACGGCTGCAGCAAGGAGACGGCGTAAGGACATGCAGGAAGCGGCTACGTGACACATGTGACATGTGCCGGGCCAGCTCGGGTCGGGTGAATGGAACATGGAGCCATGGCGGTTTATTAGTGTAAGTGCGTTTGGCGTCTGCAACTTGAAGACGGTAGACAACAGAATAGAGACTTATTTTTTACCGTAATTGGAAGTCGCCGGAGTTGTTTAGACGAGGTGTCTGAAGTGGAGCGGGAGCAGCTGAGCACTGGCAAGTGGATGAGTTGGAATCTGTTTGAAAGATGCCTAGTTGATTACGAATGGAAGGGCGATTAAATAAATGAAAAATTAAAAATAACAAATATAAATAAATATGCACGGAATACCCTTAATGTATTAAAGTCTTGATATGTCTGAAGTCTTACATAATTTGAGAAGAACTGCTAGCTCTTTCTTGATATTTATTTCACGTTTGATATTGTTATATATGGTATATACATATATTGGTTCTTGAATAAATGTACAGAATACCCTTAATATGTTACCAAGTCTAAAGAGCTCTTAGCTTTTGCCTTTAATAATGTAAAGTTACCCCAATATACGCGCCACATCTTTTCAACTCACAGCTCGATTTGCATTAATTAAAAATAACAAATATAAATAAATATGCACGGAATACCCTTAATGTATTAAAGTCTTGATATGTCCTAAGTCTTACATAATTTGAGAAGAACTGCTAGCTCTTTCTCTTTATTTATTTCACGTTTCATATTGTTACATATGGTATATATATGAGTTCTTGAATAAATATGTAGAATACCCTTAATATATTACCATGTCTAAAGAGCTCTTAACTTTTGCTTTTATAAAAATATAGTTTCTCCCATTATATGCGCCACATCTTTTCAACTCTCATCTCGATTAGCATTAATTAATGTCACTTTAGCTCACCTGATCCGTAAAGTTGTCCGTGTGGAATAGCACCTTCACATAGCTCGTCTCGCTGATGAAGGTCTGCGGCTGCTCGGCTTCGCCGCAGAACATGCCCGGCTCGCGGCGATTGGAGACGTCTGTTTTGGCATTGCCATCAACAATCTGCAAGGACAAGCAAGGACAACAGATAAGCAAAGGGACAGCCAGGCGTCACACACACCCACACGCACACACACACACACACACACACACACGCAGACAGCGGCAATTGGATTGCAACTCGGCGAGCTCTGCTGCACATAAAGCTGTCAAGCATTGGCCGTACGTTGGCATTACGTGGGCTCTACATGTGTCATCATTTGGGCGAGCGACAAAGTTATAAATTAGATTTGATTGGATGGGCTATGGCCCGCACTGGCGCGCCCATAAATCAGCCGTGTTACTACTCACCTGCAAGAAGCCGCCCTCGCAGTGGGTGGCATTGAGCAGTTGGCCCACTTTGAACTTCTTGAAGCGCAGCCGTAGCACAAAGTCGCGCGGCGCACCTTTCAGCGTGCGAAAGCGATACCAGCAGGTGAGCGGACGTCCCAGATTCTGATTGCTGACCTCCGGCGAGCTGATGTCCTCGAAAATGTCCACAGTCTTGTTGCAGTGATCCTTGGTTATGTCCGAGGAGCTGCCACCGCCAGCACCGCCGCCGCCGCCGCCGCTGCCGCTGCCACCTGCAGAGAGAGAGAGAGAGAGTGAGAGAGAGTAAATGAAAATTGCAGCTTATTAAGAGTCCACAACTTGTGAGAGCAGCAACCGCTGAAATTCATTGTGCCTAATTTATACAGCGAATGCATAAATGACAAAAGGACATTGTGCTGAATTTGTAATTTGAGACTGCTCCGCCTTCTGCTGCTGCTCCTGCTGCTGCTGCTGCTCCTGCTACTCCTGCTGCTGCTGCTGCCGCCTAGCCAAAATGCAAAAGACGCAATTGTCGTTGTCGTCCGCGTCCCTGACTGTGACAAAGGCCACGCCAGCAACCACCCGCCGCCCGCCCCCCACATGCCCCACTCACTCATGCCCCTCCCTGGTGGCACTTCAGCAGTCAACCCGCGTAAAATTTTTGAGCACTGAGTCGACTCAAGTCGTGTCGCGAGTCGCAGAGTTTTGCCTTTTGTTGTTGTTGTCGTTGTTGTTGTTGTTGTTGTTGTGGCTGCTCTCAGTGGTTTCTTCTACAGAAATTGTTCAGCCGGGCGCATTGTAAGTTTGCTCCAGCACCAGAATGCTGACTGCAAAGCAAACACACAATTTCTATAGCTTATTTATTGCAGAACTACGAAATACTCCCTGGCCGAGAAACTAAAGTATTTGAGTCCAAGCATAATAATAATAATAATAATAATTATTATTATTATTAATATTATTATTATGTCATACCAACTGGCCTGACAACTCAGTGCGAATCTCAGCCAGCTTTTGTTTATTTCTGTCAATTATTAATATAAGGGCGACTCAACTAGATGTCAAGAAATAACTACTAATTGACCCTTTGACCTGTCATACCTACAAAGCTTAGTATATTAGTATAATGTAATCCGGTTTTGCCTTTCGAGTAGTGGAAACTCTTTTAGTTTGGTGGCAAGTTAAGAGCACAAAATAATGTAAGCTTGAAAAGAAAAATAAATAAAATAAAATTTTTAAATTAAAAAATATGCAAAGTACACAAAATACATTAAAAAATATATAAATAAAATAATATAAATATAATATATATAGTAATAATAGTATATAATGTAATAATATATAATATGATAAAAAATGATAAATTATATTAAAATTTTAATCAGCTCACTTGTATTAATTTCATGAAATTGCTTTCTGTTTTTTTTTTTTTTTCATTATTATTCGCTTGATTAATAGAAAATTTAAAATGCAAATAAACCAAAAACAAAACAAAAGAATCAAACAATAGGAAAATGTAATGCGAAATAAAGGAATGTAATAATTAATATATCTTTTACATAATAAAATATGCAAAAAAAAAAAAAAAAAAAAATCGGTATACAATAGTGTATATAAATAAATACAAATATAGTATTATAAATTAATATAATTCAATAAATAGATGAACAAAACACATTTTATTAAGTATATAATAATTGAAAAAAAAAAAACTAAACAGTTTTTCATATTTTTTAATAAATGTTGAAGCCAACATTTTTTGCTATCGCTATATTTAATAAAAAAAACCCCATAAATATTTAAATAAATAAATTAATCAAAGTGTCAATTTTAATATTCTTTACAATGGAAGCCTTCACTACTTTTGCTACTTTAGTCCATATTTGAAGTGTCATTACTATTGTATATTTATAGTTAAAGTTTCATAGGTTTTCCTTCCACAGTTTTAGGGTATTCCATTATTTTGTCAGCATTTCAGTTCTTCCTTTGTGTAATCATTAAATTTTGCGGGTTTTTTGTCTTTGAGGCACAAACAAAGTTTCTACGTGACTAAAATTTTTAAGTGCGACTTGGCGTTTCCTTTGATTGTTTGCCTTTGCTTTGCTTTGTCTTTTGCTGATTTTATTTTTCCTAGCCGGAGGGGCAGGGTATTAAATTAATGTTGATTTTTTCTGCGGTCAAAATTTTGCTGTGGTTAACTAAAAAAAAATTAATAAAATATTTGCTTTGTCTACTTTATTTGAGTAGGCATAGTCCTATGTGTATATACATATGAATTATTATATTATTTATATATACACATTTTTATGGCTCTTCATGGATTATATCAATAAAGTAGGCAAACAAAATATTTTTTTTTTTTATTTTTATTATTTTTTTTATATATATATTTTTTATTATTTTATAACTAATAAACGAATTATAAATTATTATTTATTTTTCAAATATATATATATATATATATATATATATATATATATATATATATATATATATATATATTTTTTTTTTTTTTTTTTTTTTTATTTTTATTATTATATTTTATTATTATTATACAATAAAAAACTTATGAAGATTTCTCAGGCAAAAAGAAGTGCTGCTTGCTTATCTAAACTCTATAAGAAATTATCCTTGATATCAACAGCAGACTTGCTTACGGTTATAAGCCTTTGAGAATTCTAGGTCTAGATTTCTCAATAACTTATTATCTAAATACAAGCTAGTTCTATAAAGCCAAAGTAAGCCATCTATATGTTTCTCTATGCATATTAAAGATTAAATGAGAAAAATTCTATTTAGGTCTTACACACACTCCATCTTCACTTATACTTATAAACTATCTAACCATGGAGACCCTCTACTTGCTACCTTGTGAAGCTCTTAGACTAGCCGTATATAACTCGTAAGTAGCTATAAATCAAGCTTGTCAAAAATGTAGTTCTGCAGTCCATCAAATGCTTTGCAGCTCATATATCTTGGACTGGAGCACATCCCTTTTTGGCTGGCAGCTGCTTGGGCCGAGCATTAATCAAGTTACTTTCGAGCTGGCGAGCTAAGATAAACACTTCAGCTCATTATAATTCATACGGATTTACTAGTGTTTGGCGGCGTGCTTCAGCTTCGGGCGCTTCAAAGCGAATTCCGTAAGTTAAGTTAATTTCTGGAATTACGAGCTCTTTTCAATCGCAAACAGCCGCAACTTAATCAAAGTGGGCGACGTTGGCGTTTTCCAGGGACCCCAGTGCCGACATCAAAGGATTAATGAAATGTAATATATGCTTTAATTTAGCTTAAGGACACACTAAGCCAAAGAGCCGCGCAGAGGGATAGATTTCAAAGAGCCCGGCGAATCGATACACGGCGAACTCGTCAAAATTTGACAAACGCAATGCGCTTAGCTGCAGGCGCCACCTCCCAGCTCCTATCCCCAACCAGCCAAACCGCTAAACCACAAGCCACCAACTTCGTTGGCTCCTCCCCTCCCCACTCCGCAGCGCCTTTCTGAAAACCGCGAACACAGCACGCGCACAAACAGCACAGAGGGAAGCCAGCAGCTCCCCAGCTCCCCAGCTCCCCATTTCCCCAGTCTATCATGGGGAGAGGCGACACGACTCGACGCGACTCGACGCGACTCCACTTTAAGATGAAGCCAACACACTGGGCCACTGAATAATAAATCTGTTTAATTTTTGAAATAGTCTCCAAAGGCAAATGTCTCCCTCTCTCTCTCTCTCGCCCCCTCTCTTTCTTACTATCTGTGAGGCATGCTGTCCAAAGATAAACAATACAATGGCAGCTCAAGTTGGGTAATTAGTGGCCGACCGAACTTACGTTAACTATTTGACAGCAACAAAGGCAACTCATAAATGAAGCTAGAAGATTCTATAGAAAGTCGAGCAGGTGTGGAGCTGGCTGACTAGAAAATACCCTGCAGCTGCTTTTAAGTCTATGGCAGGTTATGCCAAATGCAAAGAGGTGAATCGGGAATTGTGTTTCAAATGTATATTCATTTTATATCTATTTATTATATTTCCATTTCAATAAGAAACAGTTCTAGCTATTGGATTAACTAAACGATAACTTAAACTATGAAATCGATTAAAAACGGTAAATAGCTTCTGTGATTGCAGATACCTTGCCCATTTTAAGAGCTACTTTGTAATAACACTCTGCTTAGGTATAAATAAATATCTCTGCCCATTATTCAGCAAAGGCCTAAGCAATATTGGGTATTTCCTGCCAGAGTCAATAGCGCCTCAATTAGATTCGATTTCAGTAGAGACAGAAATCGATTGTTCGATTATTATTATTAGATTAGATTATTAGATTATTATCAGATTATATTCATAGATTCCTTCTATTGCTATTTCCATAAGAGTTATAGACAATTAGAAAATACTGTAGCCGAACTACAATAAAATTGATTGTAATTAATCGATAACTCAAACTATGAAATCGATATATACCTTGCATATTTCAAGATTTAAAGTAAATAGAAATATTTTAAAATATTCAGCTTTGGTATAAATAAATACCTCCACCCACTATACAGCAAAACTCTAAACACTATTGAGTATTTTCTGCTAGAGTCAATAGAGCTTCAATTAGATTTGATGTAAGTAGAGACAGAACTAGAACAATCATATTATTATCATATATGATATAATATAAATATAAATTCTTATTTACCTTCGCCTAATTCCTTTGAAAATCATTCAAAATTATAATACTCTGGGTATATTCTAGTCATGCACTCCCTTCATAGTCACGCTTATTCAGTTCGAGCCCAGTCGATTGCAGCTGCTCGCACTAGTAATCTATCACTGTGCTAAGGCCTCTGCCATCGAGCATGATTTACACACTATTTGCAGGCGAAGCAACTGGTGCGAATCGCATTTAAGGATTTTGCTTCACATATTCTCTTTTAGCACATTTTTGCCTGGCAGCCTCAATGATACTATCATCACATAAGCTACGCCCCATAAACGGGTTAAGAGCACATTATGAAAAGCGAAGAATGAAATAAAAAGAACGGAATAGAAGCAGCATAACAACAACACAGACAACATAGCGAACGAATCTCTGATTCAAAGTCAGCTCGAACAACTTTCCTTCCCCTTGCCTGAGAGACTCTCTCTCTCTCTCTCTCTCTCTCGGCTCGACTCTTTCTCATCGATTAGTTGCGCTACGTTAGCTTCAAATGGCAAACAATTGTAGTGAGGACTATCCTCGACTACCTAAAGCAGAGGGAGAGAGAGAGTGAGGGAGTGGGAGTGGGAGTGGAAGTGGGAGTGAGAGAGACGTCATACTTTAAAGATTACTTGACCTGGCATCGGTTCACAGTCGAAGACAACAAACAGGAGGCGGGCTCTGAACAAATGTCAAAGTCAAGTAGAAAAATTGTTAAGTCGGCTCCTGCCATTTGCATTTTCATCCAAGGACGCGCCATAGGGTAGATGTGCGGGTGGAGGCGGAGGGTGGGTGGGTGTTTGTGCTGTGGGGCGGCCCGTATTCCACATGTTGATATATTGTCAACAGACGCATGTCGCATTTGTCTCGGCTTTGCTCGCCTGTCTGGCTGCCTCCCCAACCAGCCACGCCCCGCCCGCTCAGCGCCCATTTTTCTCTAGCCCTGCTCCTGATAAAGGTTGACAAGCGACAGCACCGCCCCTCCCCGCGCATATCTAGCTGCCATTCAGCTGGTTTTGCTGCCTCTGCTGCTGCTGTTGTCAACAGTCACTGAAAATCGATTATGAAAATCGTTTTGCTGAAATTTTTCACGCACAGCCGCCGCGGCTGAGACCCTTTCATAGCCGTAGCCGGCTTAGATTGTCGCCTCGTGGCTTTTGGCATAAATATTTTAATAGAAATTCGTGCTTAAGCGGCTTCAACTATTTGCAGCTGGGAGCCCAAGGACGTGAGACCCCATCGAAAGATTGCTAAATTGATGATTGATGCTTTTTATGCCTATCCCAATACCAATCCCAATCCCAATCCCAGTGCCAGTCTCAGTCTCAGTCTCAGTCTCAGTACCCATCCCAGTCTGATCCTAGTCTTGTGTAGGTGCTTTGCCCTCTTGCGGATTCACTTAACGGCTCTGGGTCCCGAGTCCTGCGTCCTTTCCCCATTGACTTATTCAAATAACTCATTCGAAATTTGATGAGTATCCCGAGTCATAAAATACCAACAACAAATTTGCATATTACTGTGCGAAAAAAGGGATTTTCACCATTTCCCAGCAGTTAAAGTGGATAAATCTTGAATACTTGAAGCCGAAAGTATTGTTGAAAAGTGAATTTCGGAGTAAAATTACTCAAAGGATAAGGATAAGTTAAGTAACTCACTGCTTAGAGGGGACTAGGGGTGGAGGGCGCAGGGGAGGGCAACAAAAGCAAGAAACAAGAAAAGAATTTAAATAAAGAGAAGAGACTATAAAAGAGGACAAGAGAAGAGTTTAAAGAATGACATAATGAAGAGAAAGAGAATAGAAGATAAAAGAGAAGCATAGAAGCGAATGAAAAATAAGTGAAGTTGATGAAGAGAAAATAGAGATACTGAAAAAGATAAGAACTGAGGATAAAGTTAAGCAATTCTTTCAAGAGAAAGAAAGCAGGAAGTGAATAGAGAAGAGAAAAGAAGATTTTGAGATGAAAAGAGCAGAAAAACAATGAGCTAATAGAGGAAAAGATTGATGCAAAGAAACTGTAAGGAAGATGAAGGTAAAAGAACAAGAAGAAGAAAAAAGAAAAGAACAGTATGTAGAAAGTAATGCAAGAAGAGACCAGAAAATACAATAAGAAATTTAAATAGCAGGCAAGACTTCAACTATAAATAAAGTCTATTATTCCCCGTTCATTCTTTAATAGAATAAATACAGTTATTAAAAAGCAAGTGCTTCCAATATTTCCCAGAAAATGCTGCCCATTGTATTTTGCTTACACTAAGCTTTACTCTACTTTATTCCACTCATTCATTGCGGACATGAATACATTTCCGGAGAAGTACCACTTGATGATTTATCGATCTGAGGGCCTTTCTCTGGCTGGAGATGCCAGATTATGCATCAGTACTTGACAATTAAGTAATTCGTTTCGTTTCATTGGAATTGTGCAAATATCCTGAATGAATATAAATGACTTAACGCCTTAAATGCTAATGGCCAGCAAATTCTCTTATCATACACCAAATTGCTCCTCTGCTAACGGTTTTTTTTTCTTTTCCTTGGCCACGATTTTCTTTTTTTTTTTTTTTTTATCTGGGCTTTGCGGCCGAGAAAAAAACTTTTAACAAGACAATTTGTTAAAAGCGAAACGAAGATGATGAAAGTCTGTATGTAAATGTATGTGTGTATATGTGTGTGTGCCTCGGCTGTCGTTGATAGATTAACTGTAACTGTGATAGATCATTCTCTTAAATTATTAAAATTGCCTACTCAAATTTCACAGCCAAATGGATGAGCACAATGATTGACTGACTGACTGACTGACTAACTGTCAGAGTGATAGACAGCTCAAATGGACAACGAGCAAATCAAAATTGGAAAAAACGAAATAGATATCCTCTGAGTGTGCGTCATAAAAAAATTGATAACAAAGCATTAAAAGCTGCAAGCGTAACGGTTTCATGTCTTTTTTTTTAGCTAAATAATTCAGGCTGACAATATTTGATATTTGACTAGCAGTAAATTTTAAGCTAGAATATTGTTATCAAAGTTTATTCCCACAATGGTCTGCAATCTCTTATTTCTTAAAAAAAAAATATATTTATAAAAATTTATACATTATATAAAAGGTAATGTTATCATAATAAAATTTCAATTCAGCCACAAATTTACTCTTAAAATTTAACTGCGTTACATTTTTATTTTTTTATATTCCACAATAAAAAGAAAATGTAAAATTTGGATATTTTGAGGTTGACAAATTGAAGGATGTGCAATGCATAAAAAGTAAATCGAAAACAAAACATAAATAAACCTTTTTTGGTAACTGGGAAAAAGAACGAAACAGCCCTCGGGCAAATGAAAGGGTTCAAAATGAGAAGATGGAAAATGGAAAAACTCTCAGGAAACTCATCAGCATGAAGCCCAAACACCTGAGGGGCATACCTGTGCCTATTCTTGGGCTTATATGTGAGTAAATCAAAAGCAAATTTACATAAAAAATTCGAATCGTTAAGCGTTACGCAGGCCAACCACAACAATTGATGAGGATACAAAATCTAAAAAGAATTTCATCTTCATTAAGGTGAAAGTTACCTTGCTTTGTGCTGCCTGAGTTACGCTTTTAACACTTAATTTATCTTAGCCTTAATGCCACTTTAAAGAGCCCAAAAAATGGGCAAACCCCATAATCTGCAGCTCAATTTATATTATAAATATTAGAAGAGGAGAAACCAAAGACGAAGCCGAAGCCCTTCTTAAATGATTAATTACACGACTTCGGTACAATTTTCTGTTGCAATCAATTGAAGAAGAAGAAGAGAGAGAGAGTGAGAGAAGAAATGAAGGCAAATAAACAATTTCAATAAGCATCCACACTTTGGAGGGGAACCAGCGTACGTAATCCCCAATCAATCTGTTGACCTTCACAGGGAGAGACAAAGGCCACGACGGCAAAGGCTCAGGCTAAGGCTCAAGCTAAGGAAGGGGTTGGGGCTGGGGCTGAGGCCATTGGGGTAGCTGCCATTACAGGGTTTCTGCCATTA